GGGTAGAAAAAGAGAAGAAAAGAGCAAGGGTGAAAGCAAAGTTAAGATGAAGAGAAAGGAAACAAGAAAGGTGCATGCATTGATTTTATATTCAACATTGTAGCACATCTTTGAAGTCTTACAAATGTCTTTTTTCCCCTAAAATTCAAGATTCAGGTATCTTATTTGATTTTATTTGAAGAGCTGACTCTCTGTACTCTGGCACTGTGTAGCAATTATTCACATTTTAACCTAGAAGAAGAATGTTACCATTTGCAACTTGAAGTATACCTGTATGTTTGGTGGGGAGTGGAAGTTTTTCCAGTTGGAAAAAGAAATGAGAGTTTGGGGATAACTTTCTTGCAGTGAAATATCTCTTGTGATCTGCAACATGACAACCTACCCTACGTTTAATTAGCTATCTAATTGAATGACTAGCATAATACGACATCCAGCAACGGAACTGGCCCATTTTTTGGATTCAGGTGGGATCTTTTTCCGTTTTAAAATATAGGCCTCCTTCATGTAGCTTGACCTTTCTGCCCCAGGCTCAGCGAGGAGAGAGACAGCAGCCTGCCCCTATAGTTGCAGGTGATGCCCTCGGCAGTGAGAGCTCAGCAACCTTCCTCCTCCCAGCATCAAGCAGCAAACCCAGCAGTTCCCTGATGAGGCCCACCAGCAGCCTCTAGGAGATCACCCCAGTCTGTTGGCGCAGGGGAAGAGAAACAAAGAGGGAATAAAAGTGAGAGAGAGAGGTGAAAATAACTCGAAAGTGAGAAAGGATAAGATAGAGAGGGAGAAGGAAAAAAAGGGCGAGCAGGAACATAGGTGAGAAAAAACTGAGAGGTGCTATTTTTCTCTTTCCTCTCTCTGTACCTCTTCTCTCTCTCATCTCCATTCCTCTACTCTACCTCTCATACCTCTCTTCTTTAGGGGGATACATTTAACTTCTCCAGTAGAGCTATTGATGTGAATGGCCTTGCTCAGAGGAACCTCAGCAATGCAATTTTAGGGGTAATGCTCATCCACTTTCCTGCCCAGCTTTGTCATGCTGGTTCAGGGTCAACCATGCATCCTATAAATTATATTTCTTTATATGAAACTTCTTTCTGGGTATGTTTAGGCACTCCCAGCACATGGTTAAGGTTAGAGAGTACGGTGGCCGACAAGGGCAAACGCGACGCAAACGGGCAAACGCACCGCAAACGGCAAAACGCTTCAAACACGGGAATGATGCAAAACCAAAAACACACAAACACATAAAACAAATGCAACAGAAAAATGCTGCAAATACCAAAAACACACAAAACCCCAAAACAACTGTGAGAGAAACGCTGCAATATATATTATAATTATATAATATTATAATTATATTAATATTATAAAAGATTACGGCCAAGTGTTTAAAAAAGACATGAAGGAAAACGTACCTTTTCACTGTCCTCTTCTTCTTCTTCTTCTTCTGCTACTTCTTCTTCATGTCTATCGGGTCTGGTCCCACAGGACTGGTCCATCCCTCAGGTCGGATCCCCCTACTGGCCTGGCGCAATTTGCAGCGTTTCTCTCGCAGTTGTTTTGGGGTTTTGTGTGTTTTTGGTATTTGCAGCATTTGTTTTGTGGGTTTGTAAGTTTTAGCTTCTGCTTCGTTTCTGTGATTGCAGCATTTTTCTGTTGCTGTGTTTTTCTGTTGCATTTGTTTTATGTGTTTGTGTGTTTTTGGTTTTGCGGCGCGTTATTTTTTTGGACATTTAACTAAAAGCACAAACTTTTACTAAAGTTATCCAAAGTGCATTTGTTGCCTAAACCTAAACGGTGGTGTCCTGTGTTTTGTTCAGCCACTATCCACCCTGACACCCTCCCATCAACCTCTGTTTGGTACCAGAAAGCACTTTGATCACTCACAAAAAATGTTTCCTGTGAATAAAATCCAGGCAGCAGTAACGTTTGTTACCATAATGTAACTGGGAAAAGAAATCAGTAGTAAAAAGCGTAACTTTCACATACAGTTGCCGGATCTCGAACCCCAGACTATATAGTTATAAGTCTGCATCTCTCCTGTCTCTCTCTCTTTCTCTCCTCTGCTATGTATATTCTCTTTCTCCTCTTCTCTACTCCTTAACCTCTGCTTTATCTTTCTCCTGCATGCAAGAAGTATTGCAATCTGATTGCTCAACCACCTTGGGAGACTGTTTGAGACTCATTCTAGCCAGATGTTGGAAAGGTGTAACTCCATCCATCTCTCCAAGACACATACGTAAGCTTGACTTCTTCCCAAGTGTAACTACAACAGGATCTAGTCTGTGGAAGGAGCCTCTACGGGGTCTGTTCCCTGTGATAATGGCAGCTAAAGTTACACTGAAATGAGAAATCCAGCTATTTCAAACATATATGATGAGACATTTTAGTTATTCTTCTGCCATTTTTGACAACTTCAAACATCTCGAGGTACCATCCATCCAAACTGGAGAAAGGCTGATTTGCTGATCTGATGTAGCCCAGGAACACAAAGATGCAAAATTACATTTGTGATCAGGCCAACATGTGGCTTTTAAGCGAAAATATATTGAATCACATCTGTATTTTATCTGGATACGAGACACTTAAAATGTGAATCCGCAGTCTTTGCTTTCATTCTTTTAGCCATGTAATAATGTTTAGTATAGTTTCATGTGGCATTATAAATAGTAGTAGTTGAAAGTAGCACTAGGTCCTTGTGTTTTTTTGTTGTTTTTGTGTGCCTGTGTGTATTTCCTCATATTGCGTCAACGCTGATCTCAGTACAGTCAGTGCAGCCTCTGGCTGTTCTCTTCAGTGTGGCGTCTCGGGAGAATCAATTCGTATGTGAATGTATAAAAAGAGTGCGTGTGTGTGTGTGTGTGTGTGTGTGTGTGTGTGTGTGTGTGTGTGTGTGTGTGTGTGTGTTAGTGGGTTAGTAAACACCTTCTCTGGGAAGAAAAGAAGTTGTATTTCTTTCATGCATTCTCTCTTCTGTATGCTGCTGTTTGTTTACCTGGATCTTTAAGATAAACTTCCTTTTAATACCTGTCTCAGTCAACATCGTGTTCAGTGTATTAAGTGTTTGTTTGGGTGTGTGTGGTGGAGAATGTGAATATAGATGTGATGATGGATATCTACAGTATGTAAGGGTTGTATAGAGATGTTTCTTTTATTTGATCTGCAGGTTAAAACTATATGAACTTGTGGATTTGATTTATTGTAGAACACACAATCTAACCACATGTAACATGAGGAACTTGACTGCATCTTAATTAACACCCTGCTCCCCTCAGTTACTGTTGCTACACCTGTCACGACTTCATTCTCAGCATGACACTAAGGTGAAGGTAGACAACAGCAGGCTTCTCGTTTGAAGCGGATTGTTTCTACTGTCGGCATAAGCTCAGACACACAAACAAAATGCAGTTAATGTTAGACCAGACAAAGACACTGTTCATTTAATTCCCACAATTTTACCCTTATGTTTGTGGTTTTGGAAAGACTTAAAAAAGTATACTCCACTCCACAGCTGAGTATAGCTCTTACTGGAGCACCATGCGCAATGTTTCAACCTGTGGAGATGCTGTGCCTAGTCTCGTCGCTAAGTTATGATTGGACAGCTGTTTTTCCGGGAGGGGTGAAGTAAAATTTCAATATCAATGCAGCACTTGCTAATAGAACTTTAACATGAATTGAGTGCAATGAAACATTTCGAAAATTTTCTACACAAGCATGTCATCATGTAAAGAAACATTTTGTGCAGGGTAAATGGGTCAGTGTGTGTTTGTCCCTGACATGTGATAAGCAAGACACCACAGACTTGATTTTGATGATACTCCAAGGAGTCATGCATCATACCGCTTTGGCATTTTCAAAATTACTGTGTTTGGCCCAAGGTGGGAGCAGCAATTACCTGGCAAACATTTTAATAACCAGTCATATCTCACATACTGCTGGGGGGAATAAAACGAAACTTGGAGCACATATCCAACCATCCAAGCTCTACAAATTTGTCTCCAGGGCCAACAGTTTGCAGCATATTAGATTTTCCACTGTTTTGAGTTGCTTTAAAATCTGTTTGACCCCCCGGCCCAAATTAATTTACTGATCACTGCAGGAGTCACTGCCTCATTTGTCCGTTCCTTCATATATGGGGCACCACAAATATAAAAATGAAAAGAGTAGAGAAGAATGCAAATACACCCACACAACATATTTTATATTGTTACATAACAGACTTGAAACTGATTTGTTCCAGACATGGCACAAAAGGAACACTTTCTAGCTCCTTAATAGGAAGAATATAATGAACTGCAGTTCACAGTAAACTCAGGAAATTGTCGCCCCTAAGGTTTGTGAGGTGTAGTTATCTGGCATCATTTCAACACAGTGGCACTACTACTTGACAGCAATGCTTTTAATCCTCTGTGGAGGTGCACTTAATGCTGCTATATGCAAGATTTTTATGTAAAAATACACCTGTCACCTAACCTTGTATGTTAATCACTGTGTGGGGCTGCAGCATAAAAGAGCATCCTGTTCTCGCTGGGACCCTGTGTTCTGGTGTAGGGTATGATAGGCAGGTAATCTGCTCATCTGCTCTGCCAATAGGAAACAACAAACTGAAAGGTAGGAGCAAAATATGCAAGTCTCTAAAACAGCAGCACTCTGCTCTAGTCTAGTGTTTCCTAACCTTTTTGGCTTGTGTTGTGACCCCTAATTACACAATTTATGGTGTAAATTAGAATCATGCAGGTTATGGCTTTAGTGTAGATATGAGAGAGTTTTTTATTCTTTCTCAAATTGTTTTATTTGAAGGATTTTAAAAGGCCTGAGGAGCCTGTATACGAAAATGTATTAATGTAGGATTGAGGACACAAAAACATATGACTCAGCACTATATGTAACAACATGTTGTTCCTCAGCATCGTAAGCAACAAATGGACATATTTACTGCTTGATGCATCTTATAAAAATTGCTTTGTTGTTACAATAAGTGTTTGCATGTACTGTATGTTTTTCAGAATATCCCGGCGCTGCCGTGTGGTAAAGCCCTCTACTCCTACGAAGGAAAAGAACCGGGCGATCTCCAATTTTCCAAGGGTGACATCATCATCCTGCGACGCAAGGTGGATGACAACTGGTACCACGGCGAGCTCAACGGTTGCCATGGTTTCTTGCCTGCTAGTTACATCCAGTTGCTGCGTCCGCTGAGCCAAACTCCACCCCAGGGCAAAGCACTGTACGACTTTGAGGTCAAAGATAAAGACCAGGATAAAGACTGTCTGGCCTTCAGCAAGGTAACACACACATATGTATGCTGAACACACACACTCTCCTGAGCACACTGTTTTTGTATCAGAATTTTATGAGAATAAATGTAATAATATAAAAGTACAGACAGGCTGCGTGGGTGAATCATTTGAGAGATTGGAGGGATGGCTGTAGTCAGAATTTACAGCGGCATTAATATCATAGTAGAAGAAAACATTTAATCTGTGATGTTAAACCGGGCTGGTTCTCTGTAGGACACTAATAATTTATCACGACGGACTCCACTCTTCAGATTGGTTCTCAGAATGTAAACCAGAGCAGGGTAAAAAGTACATGTTCAGCTTGTTGCCTTCCCAAAGGAACTGCAATTTTCACCTTTTACTCCATATTTTGTAAATAAAATAGTGAATCCACAGCTAGAACAGACACAACAAATCTGTAGGCTGCTTTGTTTGACAAAGGTTGATGATTTATGTGTTATTTATTAGTACATTGGGAATTTTTTTTGTGCTAGAGTCACAGAGGGGTATACATTTCTGCATAAGAAATGAGTTGGTAATGGCAGAAAATCAGTTTCATAGTATTTGGAAGAGGCATATGCTCTGAGTAACATCCAGTTTCAGTTGTGGAAGTTGATATTTTAAGGATTGTTTTGGACATTTATACTTTTGTAGTGTTTTGCTGTATCGTTCCTTGCTTTTGTTTTGGATTTTAAAACAGAATTGTATGCTGTTTATTGAGAGGGATTTCAGTGGTTGGTATCAGTCACCAGCTCTGTTAAGTTGGTGGGTCTGATATGAGGTATTTTAAGGATTGAGATAACATACAGGAGCAGCTGCTGCCTGCACAAGTTTCCTGATCACTACCATGGCCATGAGGATTTAATTGAAGACGCTATTAAATGTCTGAAAAACTGACACTGATATTTTGGAATGATGTTGGCAACTGATATTTTATATTCAAATTCTTCCTTTTGTATGCCACAAAGTTGGAAGAAAAGAAACAAGCTCCAAGTTTTTTAAAGATAGAAAAGTCCCTAAAACCGTAGAATTACTGTTCCACACTAATCCATTTTTTTCCTGTGGAGTATGGAGTCTTAAGGCAGGGCATGAATGCTTTCAGTATAATCCTTCACACTGGAAGGATACATTCAGCGCTTTGCTGTCCATGTTGTGATTATTATTTATCGTGTAATACATTATGTTGTGCTGTTGACACTGTACTTTTCTTTTTATGATATGCTGTACAACAAACACTTTCTACCCACTATTAAAGTACAGTGGAGTGATGATTTTGCTGGTGGCATATCTGAAGTAATAATAAAACATATATTTTCACTAGCTGTAGTCAGGGAGGAACCTCTTGGTTATCAGTGAGCATATATATATATATATATATATATATATATATTCAGTTTCTTTTCATAGGGTAGGGTTTTGTGTGTCAACAACTTTAATTCTCGAAGGGATCTGAACAAATTCGCTATCAGTTCTGATCACGTAGTGTGTCATCAACATCACAGGAGATGGTTTTCTGCTCTTTTTGAACAAGGCTGCTTTTTAATTAGTAGAGCATCATGCTGCTGCCTGTATTGCGGTATTTCTCTATTTGGATCTATTAAAAGTCAATGGCATTTAGGATTTAGACTAATTATCCTTGTGTCTGACTGTCTTCATGTCCTTTCCCTAATGTGGGTCTCTCAATGTTTTTGAAAATTAATTTGTAGAAGTCAGAGTTTGGTAGGCATTCTAGGGGTTGTTTAAGATTTGGTCCAAAATGTTTTAAAGTTGCCATCTCAAAATCATCCCCAAGTATCACTACAATTATACTTTGAAAAGGATGGAGATAGAGAAATAAACACAAGATGAGGGAAGACCGTTTGGATTTGGTGTAAACAGTCATTTGTATTCCGTATACTCTGCTGTTCTTCAGAGCTTATCATTTTGTTCCTGCTGTTACACAGACTCACTTGTGCTGGGAATGAATGCTCTACACATCCGCTCTGTCTCTGCTGTGTGTCTGTAGAGTGAGAGAGATTATTAAATTACAGTGTACTGTACACTTCACTGTAGGTGTTTTGAGACTGATCACAGCAATGCAAAGCATCGTCCTATTGTAGACCCCCTTGTCTCAAACACACAGCGTTCTACATGCAGATTAACAGATAATGATGAGGCGTTCTGGTTCTCATTATTTTGGGGCTAAACTAATCAACAGGTTAAAAACTGAAGATTGCAAAAAGCCAAACACTCACACAGTAATGCATGCCCCTGTGGTGTTCTGTATGCGCGTTGTCATGCAGAACCAGTGTGTGTGATATTGTTTTCTCAGTGTGAGAGGTAATTACTCAGTATGACTAATACACAGTCATTTACCAGCATTATCACTTCCGTCCCTAATGGTCTTACCAAGACCTTCCTATTCATGTTAGGAGAGGAGCAAATACTTTCATGATTAAGTCTGTGGGTGTGTTCCTTATTCAAAACACACACACACACACACACACACACACACACACACACACACACACACACACACACACACACACACACATTTCCATGCATGTTTGATAATATTATACAACAGAAAAGAGAATATTATATCATACTGTATGTTAGGGGTGTAAGAAAATATTAAAAAAAAACCCTGTCGATTTTTGTGTGGGTGTACAAATGCACATCCTACTGTTCTGGTTGCATAAAAACGTTTTATGCACATGATGCATGGTGTTCTCTGCATACTATTTTCCTAAAATTAAATCGCATTATACTGCTTGCTTATTCTGATATGTATCGTATCACCAGATTCTTGGCAATATACATCCCTACGGTATATACAGTGTATATTTACATTAGGCATAGGAAAGCTCATTCAGTAGCTCTGTGCAAAAAATCGCACACATTGTGCTAAGGTAACAATACAGCAAAAACAGCATCAGTATTCATACAAAATTGTTGCTCATTTTCATTTTTCCACACAGTTTCATATTCACTAAACCTCACATTTTTCAAGATTTAAATGCTCCAAAACTGTAGAGTGCTGCCAAAATCCTCTGCATAACAATGAACCATTCACCAGTCGGCCTCATCAAAGGTAAAATAAAATATATGAGGCTGTTTTTTTAAATACACATACTTAGGGGGTCTGTGTACAGAAGGGATAAGCAGCATCTGTCCTAAACTGAACTGAAAAGCAGTTGATTGATTCATATTAAAAATGAACTAAAAAACAGTAGTCGCCTATAAATTTAAAAACGTATGTAAGCCTTGGAAAAGTGTTTTAAAAAATGGGCAGTATGTGTGATTTATTTTTTTAATATTTTATAACAGGCTACATCATGCAAGAACATCTATATGTTTTAATCTTTGCCATTTTTGCTTTGTTTGCCAATCCAACAGAAGCAAATACAAAATATGAGGAAACTTTTAGCAAAACATTGTAAGGATTTAGTTTAGTTTTAGTTTACCATTTCAGAAGAGATTTATAGATTTATGTATCACAGCAAATCAGAAAAAAAACTAAACGTCTATCTAACATCTACTTGGAGCTTTTGAGATGCTTTGTTTTGACCAGGTTCTGATCAATAGCTTGTGTTTTTAACTAATATTTTCCAGCAGTGATTTATTAGAATAAATAAAAAGCTATTTGGACACACATGCTGTATTGACAGTGTGTATGTTTGTGTGTATGTACATAGTCTCACTCATTTCCTCTCTGTCCAGGATGAGGTTCTGACTGTAATCAGGCGAGTGGACGAGAACTGGGCAGAAGGCATGCTGGGAGACAAGATTGGCATCTTCCCCATTCTCTATGTGGAGGTAAACCCACAGACATTACAAACACAGTGACACTCACATATCAAGTTATTACAGAAAGAGCTGTAAAAGCAACAGTAATGTTGCAGCAGCAACACCGGTATTACAGTTTTTTCATTTATCAGAGAGGAGGCAGAAAGGCTTTTCTGTCTCTAGGCGAAAGTATATCCTGTCTGCTTTGACAAGAAATTACATGAATCTTTTGTTTATATGGGTGGAAACATTCCCACTATGATAATCTTGGGATATCAGTGCTGTTTGGCTTCCTCATCATTCATATAAGTGGGTGCTGGCTTATTCAGATTTTATTAGAGAAGAGCACATGAATCAGTGGAATAATCACCAGTGAAAAAGTAATATCCTAAATACAGTATGGTCAAATAATCAATTAGTGCTCCCTGGTTTCAAATATATTTGAACTAAATGGTATTCTGAGCCAGTGTTGCATAATATGTTGTTACCAACCATGCCGCTCCTGCTATAATCAATAACTTTTGTCTTGATAAACGTAGGTCTTGTCTAAATTCATTGGCGGTGGTAACTTCTGATATATTATCTATTTTTTTTCCACCTGGGCTGAAGAAAGGGATGCCTTGAGGTCAGGATGTAACAGAGGAGATAGATAGATATTAACTGTGTGTTCAAGTCCTTACTGTATGCAAACAACCATGGTTATAAATGAATCTATATCTGTGTTTGCAGTTGGTCTAAATGGGTCAAAGCTTCTTTAAAAACCTTCCTGACCTGGGTTGAGCAGAGATCAGACGCTGTCTGACTCCAAAAGGTTGAACACTCATTCAATGTTAGACATTGTAATTGCAGTCAAATAGCAGGTGCATTGTGTGTTCATTGTTCTCTGTGAAAAAGGTGCTGGTGTGTTAAACTGCCCTGAGGCGTCTATGTTTTACTACTTATCTGAAAGAAAACACAACCAAAACATTAAAATTGCTCCAGAAATTCAAATTATATTTATTTTATTTTATTATATTATATTAACACAGCTGTTTGAAACTAGGCTGATGTGGAGTTTCCTTTTATGGATTTCATCTCAGTAAAAGGATAAAACCCCCAACACCCCAAACATTTTACCTTCTTTCATAGTGCTATGCCTGTCAAGAGTGAAATATAGTTTACTTTAATCCTCGTGCAACTGAAAAAAAATGTCATGCACAATTTGCTGTGGATCACATTTAAGGTTTTTAAGCCATGGTAAAAAGGTTTAGTATTGGTAGAAACTGGAAGGATGTGTCTTTCCTTCTTTCTTGCTGTTGTTAAAGCTTCTCTTCTGTCTCCATTACCACAAATTTATGAACACACCAATTCTCTTATGGCCCTGTTGAAAACAAATGAAGAAACCTTCAAAACTGGCAGGAGGTTCACTCAAACTGGGAAGTATTGTTATGTATGTGTGTTTGTCAAGATAATAAGACTCTCATAAGGTTAGATGCAGTGTTCCTAGTGAGAATGACATTTTCTGTAACCTCTGCTCAGTGCAGTACATCTTTTTAACTTAGGATCACATTCCTTTTGCACACCTCACTGCGGTTTGCAAACTTGTATGCATTGGTGTGCTTACAAGCGCGTCCTTTTTCACTTTAATTTTAGTACTGGTGTTTGACATTTGTTTTTGTACTATATTTTGTACCGTGTGGTTTGTTCATGTACTGCTGCTGTGACATGCACATTTCCCCCCATGGATAAATAAAGTAGTTATCTAGCTATCCATCTTTCTCTCTGTGTTTGCAGCCTGACTCTTGGCTACCCAATCATGTCCCTGAAATTAGCTGTTTGACCAAATGACTCTCTTAGGTGATGCTGATTATAGGCAGAGAGACGGGACGAACACATACAGACGCACAGGGGCTCCTATTAGATAGCGATGCATCAATAATTTAGACCTCTCCATCACTCTGACACAGCAGGGGTACAGGGGCATGGTGTGGGTGTGGGTGTGGGTGCATGTGTGCATGTGTGTTTTTGTGTGCAGTGAGAATTTAATGAGAAGGGCCCAGCTGGACTTCTGCGGATCTGTGTGTGTGTGTGTGTGTGTGTGTGTGTGTGTGTGTGTGTGTGTGTGTGTGTGTGTGTGTGTGTGTGTGTGTGTGTGTGTGTGTGTGTGTGTGTGTGTGTCTCGTTGGATAAGTATAGTGCCTCTTATAGATGTTGTCTCACCACTCAGATGTGAATGCAGACTGCTTGTGTTAATATTTGGCAGTCTGAGTACATATATTGGTGATGAGGGGTTTGCAGATGATAGCGATGCCAGCAAAATAGTCCAAATTACATGGGAAGTGTTGGAAGCGATTGGCAGTCACTACATTTGAAGAAGGTGCTACTGTGTGTCCCCATAGCGGATATTCAGACCGAAAATATGCATATGTGAGTTTGAAGGCTTATCAGCGGAAAAAAACAGTGGTTTCTAATGAGGAAGCATTTCACAACTCTGGAAAGTTATTACAGAGACAGTAACTTTATCCTCTTTCTCTGTGATCAGGAAGCAAAAAGTACAATTTTGCAGTTAAATTTCAAAGTAATCTTCCAGAAATGTGCATTTACAAATATTTGATTCGCCTGAGGTTACACTGAGTTCTGGCAAAAGACCAATTTTTTTTTTACCCTGTTGTGCCAACACAGTGGTCTAATTGAAGTGAAAGGCTGCGGTTTTAGACATAGTGCTGATGTCAGTCTGAACATCTTCATTGGGTGATAGCAGTGATACCTGCGTTCTGGTACTAGTGCCAAAATAGTTATTTCTTTGATAAGGCAGTGTGAATGTTAAGACAGATATACAGTTCTTGATAGTCCATACAAAAAATATGGAGCTTTTATGGCCAACTGATACAAAACTTTTCCATTAGCATGTCTCTGTTTTACTTCAATGTAAACTGTTAAAACAATATTATAATGTGTTTGTAAACTGTTAAGAATAAATTGCAGTAGCTAACTGCAAAAAGAATTTCACTACTGAATGTGAGTTTAATTTTGGCAGTCATATGTGGATTTAATGTGTGTGGGCGTGCTTAGAGTTGGTTTTCCTTTGGGTTCAGGTAGGTGCATCTGTATTTGAATGAGGTAAAGGTTCGGGTCGTTTGTTGAGTTCATATGCACCTGGAGTGGATTCATGTTGTTATAAATATAATATACCAGACTTGACTTTCTGGTGGGTGTGTTGAGTAGGTTGGATTGTGTTGTATAAGTAAAGGAGCGCTAGAAGTTTGGTGTGGGTTCAGTTGGATGTCATGTCAGTTTAGATGAGTTTGAATTAAGCGTGGAAGGGTTTGAGCAGATCTGAGGTTGATTCATGCAAATACTCCTATTGCATGCAGGCTTATTTGTTGTTTTTTTTGTGGACAGCTTTGTGATGAATTTGGGTCAGACATTATAACCCATGTCAAGGACACCTCCATCTCTTTCTTTCTTTCCCTCTGTTTCTCTTCATGCATCCCACTGTCTCTGCAGCAGGAGGGAGTCGGCACACACCTGTGTTTGTGTGTGTGTGCATGAGCATGCATGTATCTTGCAGGCTTATCCTTTTCGCAGTGCAGATACCAGCTCATCAGCTTGAGGTCTCAGTGTTACCCGGAGAGAGCGCTCACCCTCCAAAAGACACAGAGTACAGAGAGTACAGTTATCTCAGAACATAATAGATGACCTTGGAGATTTCCTTCAACAAAAAGCACCAAGTGAAGAATTGTCTCTATCAACAATATCTCTCTCTTAGCTCCCTTACTGCAGTGTGACCGGGCACTATAGAGAAACTGACACGAGCAGGCATTGGTGTGTATGGAGTGTGTTTGTGTGACTGGTATCTACTGAAGAACTTCAATGCATGGGTAAAAAGTGACTGGTGATTGGTTGCAGTTTGCTATGTTTTTGAGTTTGTTGCCTCACTGACCTTCTCTCTTCTGTGTGTGTGTCCCCTCTGGTCCGCCCCATGAGAGCAAACTGAGTTATATCTGCAGCATCAATCCATCATGCTCATTAGCATAGCATTTGGCTTTGATTAGCATATCTATTAATATGGAAATGCGACATCACCAACACTGAGCCCAAATGGGTCAGTGCTGTATGCACACACACTCCCTCACACATACACACACACACACAGAAAGAAATGCTTGACTTTCTCTCCAGGGATTGTGCAGGAGTTTAAGGTTGCGCTAAGCAGACATGATTGCGATGTAAATTTGTCAGATGGCTGAAGCTGAAGATGTTGTGTGTGTGTGTGTCTTAGTTCATGTGTCCCTGTTTCACATTGACCTGTGTGTGTGTGTGTGTGTGTGTGTGTGTGTGTGTGTGTGTGTGTGTGTGTGTGTGTGTGTGTGTGTGTGTGTGTGTGTGTGTGTGTGTGTGTGTTGCCTTTTCAGACCAAGACCAAATTCAATGACCAACAATTAACTTAGAGACCATTCCCTTTAACGTCTCACCAAGATTACACAGTGACTTTCCTTACAAAAGGTTTACATGGATGTTTCGGTCATTAAATACATCGACTGTAGGCGTAATATTTGCTTTACACATTTGCTTTTACACTCCAGAGACAAGTGTTGAACAGTGCACAGAGGGAACGTTATCTATACATAGACCTCCATTAGGCAAGTGTTGAACACACACGTATGTTACAAATGTACTGTACTGTTCATGCACTGTGCATATAGCATCCATGTTTTTAAATATTTCTTTTAACAGTTAATTTGAATTTGGTGGTTTTACAATGCTCTGGAACAATGTGAGCTTTACACCGCCTGAGATATACAACCTCAATGAACATGAGCACATAAAAGAAACAACCCCTTGAAACCGCACCTAATGGTACTGCTGAATGAGGCTGGGGAGGTGAGGGAGTCAAATTGCAAGCAGCGGGTAGTTCAGGAACATTGAGAAACAGTGTGAGTGTTGGAGTAAGCAGAATTAATGAGGACAAGCCTGCTTCTAGTGACTGTATAGATTAATTATTGGACACGGAACATGTGACGATAAAACGACTTCTTTGTCTTCCTAAACTACAGCGACGCTCCATAATTGTCATACACACTTAATAATCCGTCACAGAGCTTCCCAGTTATAGACTGTTTAAAATCGAGATGTGCTCACAGCCACAGGGCAGAAAACACATTGGCACAATGTCATTATAGCTCATATTTGGGCTTTTTCAACATTTATAAAATATTGCAACTTGCTGCCTAACTAAATTGTTTATGGAGCCCCCATCCTCACATTCCCACACCTGTTCATGCCAGTCTGATAAACAACTCCAGCTAGCTAATGGGGCAAATTTAATTGCAGTGTGGAATGGCAGCTAGTGGCAGTGATAGAACTGGACAACAATAATAATAAATGTCTTGTTGCTGTCGGTGAGAAATTAGCTGATCTCTTCGGTGTCCACAAATGAGCAGCACAGATTAAGAGTACAGATGTCACCTCACCCTCAATACTGGTGGACTGGTCTGCCAGGGCAATATGTCAGACACTCTGCATGTTTTACATGTCTAGTGCTCATAAAGTTAGATGTCTCACTCAAATGATACTGCGTCAATACTGGATTTAATAAATTCAATGATTTATTTGATGCTGGGGAACATGAAAAGAGACTACTTTGCTTTTGCTCCAATTTTATTTTATTCTGAAATATCATAACAAACTGATGCCTTTTCTCCTCTGCCACCCCTATCAAATCTTAAATGTCCAGTGTGTAACACTTGCGAGGATATTCATCGATATTTTTTCATTAGTGTATAATTACTTGAAAATAAGAATTGTTGTGTTTTCGTTACCTTAGAATGGGCTGGTTTTTTTTATCTACAAAGGGATCCTTCAACCGAGTCCACCATGTTAAGCCGCCGTGTTTCTACAGTAGCCCCAAATGGACCTCTAGAAACCACTAAATCCTACACACTGGTCCTTTAATTAACAGCTGAAGCTCTAAATGGCAAGAGATAAACATATAGTGATCAGCAAAGCTTTTTTTATAGCTGGAGCTTGACATCTGCACTTCTCATTAAAACATGCAGTAACAGAGTAGGCTGTGGTAACTTAAACCAGGTGTTTATTCCTGACTTTATTAAAATCCAGAGCTGTGACCAGACCATTCAGTGCATACAGCTAATTATGTACTCTGCTAGACAAGTGTTTACTTCTTACATTTATTTGGTAATACTAAAAGTAAATACAAGACTGTGATGGCCCAGCCTTGACATGCAATTAAAGTTGTTAAGGATAAAAAAAACACAATAAAGCTAAAAGCTTATTTCCATTGTGGTCCTCATTAGAAAAGGGTAAGATGACAGATCTTCAAGTCACCCACCCATTACTTTTGTGGGTTATTCTGTGTATTATTATTATTATTATTATTATACAAATCCTCATCATGTTGCTGTCTCTATAAGCTCGCTGTCATTCTGTTTTGAATTCTGTTTCATTGTCTGTGAGCAGATCTCAAGCTGCAGTCATTCAGAAATCTATATACTAATCTTACAGAATGTTATATCTGAAACATAATAACTCGCTAAATTAAAGTGCAAAGATGAAACATTTAGTAAGCTGTGTTACTACTAAAAGAATCACAGAGCTAAGCTAAATTGGAAAAAGAAAGCTTGGGAAAGTGTCTGTCATTTCTGTTATTACTCAGCTAAGGATGTTTTTGATTAATTGAATGAAGGATTTGGTATAAAATGTAGTTGTGTGACTTACATCCTTAAATTCTTACAGGTGAACCAACACCAAACACTGTCCTAGTGTAGGAAAAAAGTTCATTTTAAATTGTTTTAAATCTTAGATAAATAACTGAAACTTTTAATGTGTTACAAGGAATATGAAATGGAAATGAAACCAAAGTGAGGAGAGAAAGAATCTAAAGGGAACGTTTGTGTGGGTGTATTTGACAAAGAGAGACAGTGAGAGTGTGTGTTTCACAGAGGGAGTCTCACTAGACCAGTTGTTGTAAGTGATGATTGTTACGCTGCTGGTTTGAAAAGCTGCCAAGAAGAACCAGAGTGTAAAGGCCACACAAACACACTTCTCCTTGTGAGTGCTGGAGATGTTGTTATGGATGTGAACCACTGAGGACTGAAATCAAACACCTGAACTTCTCCTCTGCCCTCCTCTCCTCTCTCCTCTGCCCTCCTCTCCTCTCCTCTACTCTCCTCTCCTCTCCTCTCAGTTAAATGAAACAGCCAAGCAGTTGATGGAGATCGACAAACCCACACCAACTAACGTTCCAGGTCCGAGCTCTGAACCAGCCCCATTGGGGCCCTGCGTTCCTGGCCCCTGCGCTCCTGGCCCCTCCCCCTGCGCCTCCCCGTCCAATGGAAATGGCTCTGGCCATCGGAGAGGTGAAGGGAAGAAAAACGCCAAGAAGAGGCATTCGTTCTCTGCGCTGTCTGTCAGCCAGAGGGCCGCCCAGCTTAACAACAGACACAGTATGGAGATCTCCCACCCGGTCCTCATCAGCTCCTCTGACCCCAGAGCCGCTGCACGCATCCAGGTACACACACAAACATATATACACACTGCAATGCTATAATAGGTCACTATGATGAACCACATACAGTAGCCCAGAATGGACAAACCAAACACTGACTGTAGATAGAGTTGTTCGCGTTTTTGTGGGATTCCCAGCCACTAAATCCCACACACTGATCCTTTAAGTAAAAGTAAAGTTATGATGGGGATGGATCTAATCTGGTAACTAAGTAACTTGAATCCTTAACAACGTATCATATTTAATAAACTGATCACTGTTTTGTGTATAAAATCTAAATCTGAATCTGAAGTGCTTCTACCTCAAAAATGTAGAAGAAAAGTAGAAAAGTAAATGTACTTAATTACTTCAAATAGTATTCGGATTAAATGTTGTTTATATTAACCTATTACACAACTTCTGATATGCTGATAATGATGCTATTATTGATTATTTGTTGTACAACAACCTAACATGTTGGCATATTTAGGTCAAAATATTAAAATACTTTTTTAACTTGATAAGAACAAATAGTGAATATTTGTTTTGTATTGTATTTTTAATTTACAATGAACAACAACAACAACAACAACAACAATGAATTTTGGGACAAAATATTGCACACCTGCCATTTTCAGTCAAAAACTATTGATATTGCTATCACCTATAACTCGACTGATATCAGGTTTTTGAGACCAAATCAATATTTTTGATTACAATATATTGGCCAATTATCTTTCTGCTTCCCACAGACTCAGCCAGATATTTGGGAGTTGAAAAATAAACTTAAAATAAAACAAAATGCAGAGTAACAAATATAATGGTGTCACTGTTTCTAAGCAACCTCAAACATGTCTTTGACATTTTGTACTGCAATGCATGTTACATCAGCCAACATATATGCTGATGCAGATATGCAGTATCTGCAATCCCTGCGGATTTCTTGGACAGGCTCTAAGTAATCACTGTACACACATTCACAAACCAGTTCACTCTGTTCACTTTGTTCCACTAGATTTTATTAACTAATTCCCCTATCACCTACTCTGTCATTTCCATGTGAATAAAATCATTCCTCTTTTTGATAGCTGTAGACTGGAGACACATTGCTTTTACATTTATTGCCTCTGGTTGCATTCACACCTGGGTTAAATGTGTTTTTGAATAACACCCCAGGATACCCACTTACTGCAAGTAATATTTCATTTTAAATAGAAACCACTCAGTTTCAATCTGTGTATCTTTCTGTGTCTTTAGGATGCATCTCACCCAGGTCCCTCTCCCTCCTCGGCAGGGGTACTGGTGCCCCCAAAAGTGGCATCTATAACCTCTGAGCTGCTGGCCCATGCCAAGGTGCAGCTGCCACTCAACATGTGAGTACACCTCAGGGTGCTGTCAGCTCGCCCACCTGCGACCTGGTCCCTCCTTCCATCCCCTTGCTCTGTTTTTCAACAGAGTGGATATGTGCCTGAGATCCGAGCATGATTTCAGAACCCTCCTCCTGGCAGCGTTAAAAATATTTCCTCTTTTGTGCCCAGAGTTATTGGCCACGTTCCACCACCTCTGCAACCACATTTACTCCTCCACTGGTCAAGGATGAAATCCCCCTCAGAAAGGAAAAATACAGTCAAACAGTATTCCCTCAGTTGTGTGATGATGCTTACATCAGTGTTTCATAACAAGGCTCTCAACAGCACAGCCGTGGCTTATACTGTACTATGCATTTTATTGTACAACAAACAATAAGGTGCTTAGTCCTTTCTAAAAAATTAAGTGCTGGATATACATTTAGTTCAGAATATGTGCAGCTTTCATGCGTTTACAGGAATTTCTGCTTTATTTCATAGCGGACAGATAGTTTACGGGTGCGAGAAAGAGAGAGATGGGGATGTTGTGTGATTGCAGGATCAGCATCTTAAACTCCCTAGGCTTCCCAAAAACTCTGGCAGGTGGCTTTTTTAAATAATTTGTCTGTTTAAATTTGTCAAAACGTTCTACATACAGATATTATAGTGAGCGGGTAGAATAACTCATTACGAATACATAAGACAAATAAAGTAGGGCTATACAGGCTGCAGCTGGAAGTTTGCATTTGACTTAAATTACTTCACAGGTTGAGCATTTCTTGAATGGATTAAGAGCCAAAAACCAGCAGACACACACTCACAAACACAATTAAACTCTTGTGGAATTGTAACCTCACTAGTCACATCCAGATGGCCGGTGAGACGCCAGCGCTGAGCAAGACTGTTCTATAATTTACCTCGTAATTAATCTACCAGGTAACTGCCAGAAAGATATGGGTTCTTCAAGGTGAGTGTGTGTTTATGCTCTTGTACTACATTGTGCACACCAGTCTGAGTTCTAGACCTTGAGAGTGAGGACATTTTTGGATATTTTTGGAAAGTGAGGATATTTGGTTAGTCTAAACTCAGGGAATGCATCCTGTTTATTGGTGTCTTGCCTGCAGGATGTGAGACAAATACAGCAACATTGTCAGCTTTAATAATATCACTTTCCAAGTAGCAAACACACACACAGACAGACAGGCACACACACACACACACACACACACACACACACGTCCGGAGTGGGTTTGTTCTACTGATGAGGTCGGACGTTTCCATCTTGACCTGGCAACTATTCTTGTTGCCATGGGGAGACGGGAGACGGTCCCCACATCTGTTACCATGGCAACGGGGAGGCAGTGCATATAGGGCTTGTTTACTGTGTGGTCTTATCGTCTTCTGTCTGTGAGTCTGGCACTAAATACTACGAATGTCTCCCAGCGACAGGGCCAATAATACATGGTCACATATAGTAAGATGCTAAGTCCTATATTTATCAGTGTACCTTGTTAGTCAAATCAGAGGCTACGCTGCGTTATTACAGCATTGATGCATCTTGGATCAGCTTTTTATGATTCAGATCTTTTTTAACAATGGTTTTTGTAATAGTTATAGTTTATTGCAATATAACATATAATATCCCAAAAAGCCTTTGATTCTTGTTAACATGATATGAATTGTATTTTGTTGTCATGTATTGATTGTGATATTTATTAGGACCCCTTTGGAAACGAGATGGTGCATCTCAAGGGGGTTTATCATAATACATTTGAATAAACAATTTGTGTATTTCTTTTTTTTTATTTGTCTGTTGATCTTTGCATAAAGATTATTTGCTAGTAGGAATATATGTAAGGAGATCCATACTATAATATCCCTAAAGACCACCTTCTTGTTGTTCATAAACAGCAGGCTATTTTACTGTACAAGAGAATGTATGCTCAGATAATTTACCTGGTAAATAAAGTCCAAAAAAGTACTAGGATTAGTCATTTTTCCTAAGAGAAACTTTATCCTAACTATATCTTAAACATTTCTATTTACTGTTATCAACAGTATATGTCAGTGTGCGTAAGTACATTCACTTAACTTGTTAAGTTAAAAAGGTTGAGAGCCTTTAAGAGGAATGGTCTAGTAGTCTATTGTTTCTCAAAACAATCCTGATTTACGGTGGTGGGAGAGTTTTGGCGTCCTTGTGTTTTAACTTTGGACCTTGAACCTTATAGCCCTCTTTGCCATCTTTTTTTAAAGAGAAACTGACATAAAACAGGCTTGAAACACTCTGGGAAAATGGATGGTATGTGGTGGGAGGATCGCCCTGCACAGTTCTTCTCTTTGACCTGACAAAGATGCTATTGTAGATAAAAATGTTTGATGGTCTTATAAAGGAGTTGAGCATCAACAGTGTGAAGGCTGTTATTCTTTGGTTTTTCCATTCAAGTTAAATAGTGTTGAAATTTGCTATTCTCTGCTCCTTTCTTAACACACTGACAGAAATTTGTACTTGTTTTTCAAACGACTGATTTGCTAATTAATTTGTTTACTTATTCATTTATTTGCATTGTGCATTTGTAATAGCTTTGCTTACTTTGCATAATACATGTTAGGGACAATCCACATGGGAGATAAAGATAAACAGTTTCTTGATATTTCCTGCAGATAATGATTTTACTATTTGACTTACTTTTACATTTTGTCTGTTGCCTTTGTCCCCCAGATATCTGGCTCTGTACGCCTACAAGCCCCAGAAGGCCGACGAGCTTGAACTTAGGAAAGGGGAGATGTATCGGGTGACAGAGAAGTGTCAAGATGGGTGGTTCAAAGGCACCTCGTTGAGAACTGCTGCCTCCGGTGTCTTCCCAGGAAACTACGTCACCCCTGTGTCCAGGTCAGTGTCCCTAGGAACTATGTCCTTTCAGCATCCAGATAAAAGAAAGTAGCAGAGTAGTGGTTGGTTGTTGATGAAGCTTAAAGTACAGTACAATATTTCACTTCCTTTGCTCAAGTGGCTAAATTGCCAGAGAGACCACACCACCCAAGTTTAATCCCTCCAACAACCACATGTCCCCTCAAAGCGTTCTTCTGCAACACCCCTACCTGCCACAGCTGTAACGAGCTTCTACTGTAAATGTAACTTTAACTACCTCATCCAGGTGTGAGGGCTGAGGGGTCGGTAGAGGTGGTCAAAAAGTCCCTTTTCTTTTCTGCATTGAAGCCAATGCAATCATTTTCTTGCTCCACTTCTCATTCAGTTCTTTTGGTTTGGTCATGTGAACCCAGCAGTGCAATACAATCACACTAAGACCCCTAATTTTGTCCTCACACAAAGGAAGTGGAAGCACTAACACAGTCGTTGTAATTTACATTGTAATTTTTCATGGTAATTTCCTGGCTCCAACTGAAGCCGAATACAGATTAGGCATGAGCAGTGCAATTTGGCTACTTTTTATGGCATGTAATTGCGCTTGTGTTTCCATGTTCTCAGAGTGCCTCTTGTCACAAAGGCACACCGAAAAAGCTATTTTTTGGGCTTGAGATGTCGGAGGCAAAATCTGCGGTTACTGTATTCCTCGTGCTGATAATGTATTCTTCCTACTTCAGCCTCTACTCCGCACTGTGCAACACACTTTGTCACGATTCCGCTTTCACCACAAAATTGTTTGGTCACACCAGAAGCACATTCTGAAAAGTCCTTACCAGGAAGGGACTGTAAACTACTCTACTACTACAATGTCCCTTGTCATCAGAAAACAAAACCACTTTGTATTAGAATGGAAAATTTTGTGAAAATCAGTTTTAAACAATCCATCCCTTTTTGGTAAAGCTGGATGTTCAACAAAAAAATGCAAGGATGAGCCTTAAAAATGTATCTTCACAGATTTAGATTGGAACTAGGAAACACTGTCAGACTTGAGATATTTTTTAAATTTAGTTTAAATACAATCTAAAATACAAAACAGTCAGTTTATACCGGCTCTAATGTTTGACTACGACATACTCAGGGTAGATCATTATCATTGTCATTATACTTATTTTATCTATTTTGGCACCCTTAACACTGTAACTCATAGCTGTTAAAACCAAATAAAACAGAAGAATGAGTGTACTGAAATCATATTTGGCAATTTAATTACCCTCATTATTACTGTATGCGTGAAAACATTTGCAGTGGCTGTTCATCTAATCTGTATTCTGCTCCTTGATGCAGTCAAAGAAAAAGAGAGGAAGAAAGTAAAGGCAAGGGAGAAGTAGAATAATAGAAAAAGAAAGAAAATAGTAATGTAGGATCGACAGAAAATGTGAGAAAGAAAGAAAATAAGCAAAGGGGGGAAAGGGTAAATGGCTGAATGGGGTGGGGAAAGATGGGAAGAAATTGAAATAGAAGATATTGAAAAAGTGTCAGAGTGAGGAGACGGAGACAGAGAAAGCAAAAGAAAGAGAAAATGATACAAAGAGATGAAACGGCTGCAAAAACAGCAGGTGTCCCTCTACAGTGGATATGAATGGCTGCTTCAAATACTGCAGTTATGCAATCTGAGAGAGGAGAGAGAGAGAGAGAAAAGCAGGATGGGTGAGTAATCAAATGAGAGGCAATTTGTTATTTTTACGCAAGCATACTCTCTCTTTCTCCCTCCTTCCATCCTTCCCCCCTTACCTCTCCCTCCTCCTTTGTCTGCAGTGCAGCTCAGAAATTTCTCAATATGATAATGAGAGGCTGCCAAAGATGCACACACACACACACACACACACCACACACACACATTGTAGAGTTGGACCAATACAGGCAGCCAGATAGGCGTGTCATTCTTTTTGAAAGTGCAGTTTGAATATTTGCATATTAGTTGTGTCATTTATTAGCATAGTTGATAAAAACATATAGTAGTAGATTTAAAGTACATATACACAATTCGATCAGATTCCAAATAAGACTGCATGAATTAATTTGGATTATTGTTATACTGGATTTAATAATGGCATATAATGTCATAATGGCATAAAAAATGCCGGTTCAGACGACTCAAGAATGCAGTTCTGGTTCAAAGGATGACTGTCTATTGTATGAAGTCTTTAAAGTTACTGACAGCAGACAGAAATATCTGTATGGGCTTTTACAAGTCCATGCGTGAAACCCAGCGCACACAATGAGCAGTTAAAATTTGTGTTCATGGAAAACCTCAAATCAAAGAATCTGTGAATATCTTCGCTGTTTTCATTGGTACACACACACACACACACACACACACACACACACACACACAGAAAGCCATAACTCTGTATGTATGTGACAGGAAGTCGATGGGCGGCCATAAGAGTGTGAATACCGTCGAGTCAATAATGTTCAGCTCACTATTCTGCCATTCAGCACTCTGCAGCCTGCAGCTCCATATATGTTACAGTAGGTCACTATGTTGTGCTGATCCACCGGCCAGATAAAAGCACTGAAATCACTGACTTTGACCGAGCATAATAGTACCGTTTGTAGCTGCTGCTCTGCTATTATGACTAAATTCTGCCTATTAACATTTTGTACAACACAAGAGACTAAGAGTCCACAGTCATGCTAGCAACTCTGTGAGGCCGTACTTCGACACAGCATTGCTTTGGGCTAAGTCCTTACATAGGCATGCTAACATGATGATGACAATGTTAACACGTGATAAGCAGGTGTTCACAAGCATAATTTAGCTTGTTAGCATGCAGCTGAGGCTGATGAATGTCAACAGTGTGGCAAGTAAGAAAGTTTTGGACAAATTCAAGATGAACCTGAAGATGAAGCCAGAGGAAATGTCAGGGGATTAACTTGTTAAGTTAATACATCCTGATGATCATGTGTCTGTTCCAAATTTCATGGCTTGTTGTTGAGATATATCACTCAAAACCACAAATGTCAACCTTGTGGTGTTGCTAGAGAAAAAGTCAGAGGATCAACAAAATCATTAAGATCTTCTGGGAGCCATGGATATCTGCTTGAAATTGCATGGCAATCCATGTGATAGTTATTATGATATTTCCCTCTTTTTTATCAAAGGAAGACCTCTGTTTCTAAAGCAATAACGTTAAGCGTTAACATGTGATGAAAGTAAAAATCAATATCTCTCTCTCCTCTGCAGGGCTCCATTTGGAGTCGGTGGTTCTCGAGGCTCAGGTTTGTCCAGTCCAGTAGGTGGAGGAGGCAGTGGGTGCAGTCAGGCGGGGAGTAAAATCTCCAACCCTTCGTCCCCAGGGTCCCCAGGGCCCTCTTCTCCCCGTCCCTCCACCCCACTGGTAAACTCAGCCAACTCTGTCAACACCGTCAGTCCAGCCTCCTCGCCACAAACTGCTGCCGCCCAGCTGAAGAACTGCCTGCGCTCCAGTCAGCAGACCGTTAACCAGGCACGCACCTCAATGCAGCTGGGTAAGCAGAAACTGCACACAATTGTAGAAATACATATAGTGGGTTTTAATTTTCACATCAAACGATTTTAAGTAAAGGATTTATAATCTCTTTGAGGTGGATCTTGTTGCATCGGTTCAGGGAAGTGTTTAATCACATGGAGATGTCTCTGTCTGTGGTCTTTTTCAAACTTCATGCTCCTCAGCATCACACTCTGCGATAAGACCGTTCACCAACCCACAGGTTTAAAGGAGCAGAGTCCAGATCATTTGGGACCTTGCAGCATTTTAGTCCGTTGATCTCTGATTACAGAATAATAGAATATTGATCAGTCATTAATTCAAGTAGCCTCTGCGCTGTAAAAATGTGCAGGCGTGTGCTCACAGCGGCCTCTTTAACTTCCAGTTTCATCAATGCTGTTAGTCATATGCAAAAAAAAGGAAAAAAAAAAAAAAAAAAGAGCTACGAAAAAATTTGGATGAAAGCCTGAATGAATTAGACGGATAAGATACAGTTGGTGGCATTCACATATAGCACATGGCCAAAAGTTTGTGGACATTAAAATCCTATGAGATTGTTGAGCATCTTATTCCAGAACTATGGGAATCCAGTTAGTCTTAAAGGTGCTGAATTGGGTCGACATCAGGGCTCTTTATCTTTACTACATCTTTATCGACCTTGCTTTATGCACAGGGACACTGTCATGTTGAAACAGGAAAAAGTCTTCCACAAACAGTTGCAACATAGTTGGACGTGGATGATTTTCCCAGAACAACATATATTTTGGCCATAAAGTGCATGCATTATATATATATATCAATATATTCAATCAATATTGATACATACTGAGTTATATGCACCACATCTCTTTTGAATTACAATTCATATACCATTCTCCGTCCATCCAATCCAATTTTTATATCTTATAACTATCACAGAACATGAAAAGATCCCATTCCCACCTACTTTTTTTCCTTTAAGATAGAAGACAGAGCAGAGGTGATTGGAAATGAGGGAAGAGAGATGAAGGATGACATACAAGTCGAACCAGGGAGATTGCAATTATAATGTCAGCGTCTGAAACCCCTATAGGCCCTAACCTGTATGTATTTTGACTGTTGGGGAAAAAACACAGAATAGAGAAGAACAAAACTCCACACAGAAATTGCTTTCTTGCTTTTGGACTGACAAAATATGTTTTAGGGTAAAATAAAATTCTGCCAGATGTGATGATATGAGAGGATAGTCATATGGCCTGTATCTGCAAAATGTTCACTACCAATTTTTTGGGGGGTTAGGCTTACTACAAGTATGAGAATAGATGTTGCTGGAAGCACACATCATGTACCCATCCACTACTCTGCACTATATGAATCCACTGAATCGTCACTGAACACAATAGTAGTTACAAGAACATATTGTAACTCACAGTAGAATAATTTAGCACATTTGCAGTGTTACAACATGCAAACAAACATTGTGCACATTAATAGGAGCTCTAATCACGCAGTGGTATTGTTTGTGCCCGACATGCACACACACACACACAGTTCTTAGCAACACACACACACACACACACCTGTCTCTGAGCAAGGTCCACATCATATCGGCCTTGTTCTCCACTCAGAGCCTATTCCACTCTCCAGTTCCCCTTCCTCGCTTTCTCTTTGTATCTTTTCTTTCTCCCTCTGAGAAAATAATGGCCAAGGTTTCTTTTGGGAGAGTGAAGAATACACACTGTGAGCAAACTGCCAAGAATAACACACATACACACACACACACACACACACACACACACACACACACACACACACAGAGAGAGAGAGAGACACATGTGCTCTCCCACGTACATATACACACAAGTGAACGCTCAGGCTCACAAACACAGCTGAATGACATCACTGTGCTTTTTGTTTTATGGAGGCGTAATGACAGAGCTTCATGCCTCTCACCATTCCACCTCTTTCTCCCTCTGTTTTTCTCTCCCTCTCTCTCTCACATACACATAAACAGACACACATCTGGTCTCCATTACAAAATAAAGTATGTGCATAGTTCTGGCATTTAGTGGTTTTATCACATGACCAGCGTGGCTCTCTATGGATTTCTGCCTGAGTACTGCAATGTAGAAGAGCAGGTGGCTAGCAACCCTGTGTGTGTGTGTGTGTGTGTGTGTGTGTGTGTGTGTGTGTGTGTGTGTGTGTGTGTGTGTGTGTGTGTGTGTGTGTGTGTGTGTGTGTGTGTGTGTGTGCGTGCGTGCGTGCGCGCGTGCGTGCGTGTGTGTGCACGCGCCTGCCTGTATGCTTTTGTGGGTGTGTATTTTCTGTGTACTTTTATCCTCGTGAGCAGCAAATGTCCTCATACAAATTGAAAGGCTGAAAAATGGTCCAAACTCAGGACATCACAGCCAGTTTTTTTATTTCTACAAAGGAGTTTGTGCAGAATTAGGGCCTCGAGTTAAACTTAGATTATTCACAGTACTTTCTATTTTTTCCACATTTTTTAGCAGCGTGGTTTGAGTTTTGGACCTCAGCCTCTCAGATTGGCCCGTTCTCTTTGTGTTTTAGTCAGACCAATGATGTGCAAGTGAGGTGAATTGTAAAAACTTAAACTCCACACTTTTAAATAAGTAATTTATAATAATTACTATAATCTACTGTATCTCTGTGAAAGACAAGGCAATCTCTCTGGAGTGTGTCTTAAGCCAGGGTCTTAAGACAGTAAGACTTAAGCAGAACACTGTGTCAAGTAATTGCACTTTTGCATTACTCAGTACATAAAAACAGACATTACAGCAATGTAATTTGGCACTTAAACAATCCAGTAGTTTGGCTACACCTTGAATGAACCATGCAGGGATCATCTGTCTTTGAAAGTCAGTTGTTTTTATAATAGTGTTAATTGCCTATTATAAACATACCGTGTCTTCATACAGTAGCGGGTGGACCAGACAGACTTAGATACCAGAGACAAATTATTTTGATACCAATTTTCTCTTCAGAAATGTAGTAACAGTCCAACTCCCAAAATATTGGCTTGTTCCCTCTGGTGAGCTAGTGATGACTGATGGATGCACTCATTAAAAGGCTCTCACAGTTATACTAACACACACGGGTTTGTGTCTGTTTTAGTTCACAGTCCTCCTGCGGGAAGCCCAGAGCGTCCCACAGTGGCAATCTCCCCCCTGCGCCCTCAGAGTTCCTCCCCCTCACGCTGCCCCGGCCAATCGGGTCGTCCTCTCTCCATGGTGTCTCCGGGACCCAGCTTAGGACCTTCACCCCTCTCCTCTCCAGCCTCGCGGCCCCTCCTGCCCCTCTCCTCCCCTCTCTCCTGCCTCACGCCTCCTAACGTGTCAGCAGTGCTCCTCAACGGGGAGCCAGCCAGTCCCCTGCAGCCGCCATTGCCGGGCCCCTCCCACGCCCCCAGCCAGGGTGGCCTCGTTCCCAAAGCAGAGAAGGTGAGCCTCATCCTTACAATATAAAAAAAACTACAAAGCACATCTATCAATGGCTTGTTTTAAGATATGAAAGTTTTACTATATCAGTGATCACTGTGAAAACCCCACTGTGGAAATAGACACTACTTTTTGACTAATATAATAATTAGATTTCTTGTTAGTTCAATACAGCTCCTATTATTTTCTCCACATGAATAATCAAGAGCTGAATGCATTAACTTTATACTTGCTTTTGGAATTATGAAAAATCACTTTCCCGAGTACATAAAGACAAGACAGATTGTGCAAAATCTGGTTCTCCAAAAAAGAAAATCACAACTCTTAATGTCAAAATAAGTCCTTGAATACTGATTGATGCTACATGTTGTAGTATCTATGGAAGGTATTTTCATATAATGACCAACTTAGACAAAATAAACCATACTGTGCATATCAATACAGGTTAAGAAGGAAACAGCATTCTGGCTAGGGCTGCAACTAACAATTGATTTCATCACAGATTCATCTGCTTATTATTTTTTGGATTTATCAGTTAATCAGTTGATCTTATAAGATGTCAGAAAACAGTAAAAAGTATCTGTTACAATTTTCTAAAGCCCAACCTGATGTCTTCAAATAGCTGACATTGTATTGATTTACTCCCACATAAGACAAAGAAAACTCCTCACAACTGAAAACTATTGAACATTTGACACTTTGGATTTAAAATTAGTATAAACAATCAATCAATCAATGATCACAATTACTGCAAATTCCTTTTCTGTCAATTGACAAATTGATTAATCGAGTATATGAATGTGTTTTAAGTCCACATCTCCATTAAGAGAACACAATCCCTCTTGTTTCAGGCCACACAGATAATAAGTAACATTTACACTTCCTTTGATTGCAGACGTTTTAGTCATCCTGTAAATAAAACTCATTGTTCATATATTTTGTGTATGTATGTGTGCGTGTGTGTGTGTAGTCCTCTCCTACCTCAGTGAGTGTCATTCACCCAGGCGGCTGGCACAGATGCTGAATGCCATCCTATATGTTGTGAGATCTGCAGTGTTAAAGCTTTGGATGTTAAATCGGGCTGAGCTGACAGTGAAGGATGGCACTGAAAGCTTGCATCTGTCTCAGCTCGATTTGTTTCACTGTTGGCTCCACTGTCTGGGACAGCTAATCTATGGCTAGCTGACAAACAGCTCATTGACTATGGAACAGCAGGCAGTGGCCTTGTTTACATCGCCACACTCAAAGATGGCTTGAACTTGGATTCAGGATTATGACTCATACACTGAATATATCTCATAAAAGTTGGAACGAGGTCGTTAAAGCACGAGTATCAGTCGGTCATTTCATGTCATTCTGATATCAGAGGATGCTCCCATCTTCTCGCAACCACTTAATATGTTTGTTTGTTAAAAAAAGTAAATCAAATGTCTGCCTAAAAAAACATTATAGTTTGTTTTGGGAAGATTCTTTTCAGCTGTCTATAAATCTCATGTGATGACCTGCCTCACCCAGTCTAAATGAGCTGCTACTTTAGCCAAAACAAGCTCTCAATATGGATTTTCCTGTAGTTGTACAATCCAGTTGTGAAAAATGCTATTTCATAAGCTTGTTACGCCCTGACAAGATTAACATTCCGCAGGAAAACTAGAATATTACACAGTTTATGGTCAGGGTAGCCCAATAGATCACATTTAAAGATACTGAGTATTGGCACAAAATACTCAGAATCAGTCCCAAAATGCTATATGATCATATTATTCCTTTAAAACAATGTTCAGCCTGACCCTTATTCACAGCACTTACCTTTGTTGTCGAGCTTGGCAGAGCAGGAGCATCAGGTTTGAAGTCAGGGTGGAGATGAGACTGCACAGAGTCAGTCTTTGTTACAGAGGAAATGATGAAGCAGCTACGATAACTGTCTAGCAGACACAGTTAGGATAATCGCTGTTCGACACACTGTCACACTGTCTTGGGCGCAGCCAGCATACAGACACATATCACGTTGGACACTGAGATGTGTTTGTAGACCGTTTCCAAGAAGTCTGTGCCACAGGCCAGCTGCCAACTAAATGGCTGTGAGAAGTGTTTGCAGGATTTCAACAGGTCCAGAAAAAGTCTAAAAATGTCTTAAACTATGTTTAACTGAACATTGAGTATCAAAGCCCCTGAGTTTAGATAATATAGGCTTTTGCATTCCATTTTTACTTTACTGTGTGTTATTTTACAGACACTTATAATATTCTGGTGACATTTTGTCCCGTTTTGCCTCTATTGATAGCAAAAATAGGCTTATATTTGAATCTTGGCTGGCATTAAAAAGTATTCTGGCACCCTGGTTTCTCAGACATGGAATCCAACCAAGAGACACTCTTCGTTTTAGACCATTAAACTCACAGCAGCGAAAACAAATCCGTTAGACAAAATATGGAGTTACTGTGATCCATTTGGTTAGCATATTTCAGACATGGTGTAAAGGGCTTTGTTCCCATTTCACTCTTGGGTTTTCTTTTTTCACATAATTAACCTTAAAAGCATTTAAAGAGTGTTGAGTGTGGGTGAGTAAATGAGTAATTAGCTTGGTGGTTACAGGTTCAGTTCAGTTTCAGCATCCTGACAGTGTGCTGCAGAGCAAATAACTCATCCAGTGCTAAATTGGACTTAATTTGCATGACAGACTAAATTGTGAGTGTATGCTGCCATCCGGTGGCTCATTTTGGAACAACAGCAGCAGTATAACTCACAGGCGAGCACACACATACACACACACTCGCAGGAGGCAGATTAAGCCTTTAAGCCTGCAGATGAGAGAGGAGAGAGAGTGATTATTCACTTTTTTTACCGCTTTCAATCCCACCTTCCTTCTTCGCACTCTTTCTACAGCCCTCTGTTGTCTCTGTCCTCCCTGCTATCTTTTCCTCCTTTCCTCTCCTTCTTTTGACATCTTTGTCTCTCTGAATCTCCCTCTATATCCCACCATTTTATCCTCTTCTATTCATCTTCATTTTACTCTACATCTTCTCATCCCTCTCCCAAATTAAAATTCAAACAAGCTTTATTTGCATGACAGGAAGGAAATCTAATGTTGCCAAAGAAGTGGAACATTTTATGTGTGGATATTTCAGCCCACATACACTTGCATCATTAGATTTATGTAAAAGTGATTTATATTTTTGCGGGAAAAAAAGTTACAACAAAAAGGCGACACATTCCTGCGTAATATATAATCTCTACACAATAATAAAGTCTTGGTATTTAGGGAATCGCACATTTCCAAAGCTCTGGTATGTGGAGTGCAAAAGCAAGGAATGCTCTTCGTCTTCTATTGAGGATCTGCTGAGTCAAAGTGTTTATATAGCCTCTCTTGCTTTGTAAGCACTTTTATCTGTGCTGTCCCACCTCTATACTAACACTGGTCATTAAGACAATGAATTGTTATTGTTTCACTTCTTTAATTGCTCGATTTTAATCAGATATTGCGCCAGGATTGTGTCACTTTTGTTTACCAGGAATTCGGTAACAGTGTAGTTTGTCAGTCTAGATGTCAGCACATGTGAGTTTAGTTGTTGCAGGTCCACTGATTGAATATAGTTCTAATGTTCAGTCTGTTTAGCAGATCACTTTTTGGGTTGTAATATTTCTACCAAATTGTGGAAAGTCCTGTGAACTTCAAGTGATTAAATTGAATCAATTTTATCTTTCTTTTGTTTTGGAAACCTCTTTTTAAAGAGAAGAAACTCCCTCAATCACATTGTTCAATGGTCTAGTATGCTGATTGGTGAGTCACAGCTTAACCCAGAATCCCTGTACACCAGAGAGTTGCAGTGGATAACCTGCTTGATTTTAAATGACGACTCCCACCCTTTGCACAGTGAATTTCATCTTCGTCCTTCCGGACAGAGGTTATTGTCCCAAGATGTAGAACAAAGCCATATAAAAATAGCTTTGTTCCAGCAGCTTTCATTTAGATCAACGAGTTGTAGTAACATGGCACAGAGTTTTTCTTGTTTTTATCCGCATTTTTACTGTATTTATTGTAGTGGTTATTTATGTTTATATTTTTGTCAAGATGAATGCCTTGTCTTTTACTACGAAGTAACCTTGAACCTTGTACCTTGAAAGTGCTCCTTTTTGGCCTTACTAGGCCCCAATTTTGCTACCATAAAATAATGTTAATTTCATTAACATAAGTTTAATTAACAGAAAACACAATACATAGTGCCTGAACTGGGAGTGTCTATGACTTTGTTAACGTCTCTAAACAGAGTACTGGACCATAATCAATTAGTTGATCAACAAAAAAAATCCATAATTTTATACTCATTTCATTGTTATTTATCAAGGAAAAATACAAAAGATTTGCTGGTTTAAGCATTATCTATTATAAACTGTACTATTATAGTGTACTCACTGTAAATTGAATATTTTTACAAGCTATATTTCCTTAAGCGTTTTCCCTATTGGATTAGAATTAAAATAACTGTTATTTGCAGCCCAAAATCAAAGTAGGCATACTGGGCCATTTCTTCATGAAAATGTCTACTTCTTACAGCTGCCATGAAGCACAGGCATGTTTGCTTCAAGCCTGGTTCAGTAGTCGACAGTATTTACGGAGCCATCTGCAAAGGCTGAGCAGAACTACCACAGGGGATTTTCCAGCAGCCTTGGTTCGCAGAAGAAAAATTGTAAGAGAAGATAAGCTCTTAGTGTTAGTTCAGAAATTGTAATTGGATGTACAATATTTATCACATGTATACTGTTGCATGTTTAATAACTGAGAGTGATTTAAACTGGAGCAAAGGATATAAAAAGAGGTGGCTTGAAGTACTCGAAGACAACACAAAAGAGAAGACATGAACCTTGATATATCAATATATATCAACACACAAGGTCACACTGTTTGAAATAAAAATGTGAGTAACTGTGATTCACAAGACCATCACCAAAACCTGAGAACAGAAAATCTGTAAATATTAGCTTTGCTCTGGGTGCCTACTGATGTCACACAATTAGAAATGTGTTTTTTCTAATTACTCACATAGATGAAAAACATGTGAAACTGTGGTTTGGTAATGTTGCACCTATATATGTAGAAGGTGTTTTGTTCAATTAAAACTGACATTTTGTATTTTGACCTAAACAGGTGAAAATGAGAGTTTTTGCAGCTAAGCATTAGCATTGTGTTTCATGCTGGTGATAAACAGAACATTTGACTCCTCTGACTCCACTATAAGAGGACAGTTTCTGCCAGTTTTTGCTTTATCACAATATGTTAGGGGCCAGTACTATGTTGAGTTTATTTACAGTCGTTAGGCCTCTTATATAAGGTGCAGCTGAAGCAATCGAACCCCTAAAAACTTAAAACATCTTAAAACCTTCTGTTGTTGCTCATGGACTGTTGTTTGTGCTATTCTTGCAATGAGGTCCTCAGTTAACAGACACAGCTCTAGTGTTTTGGTCTCTGTCCTGCTGACTTTCTCTGAAATCAAAGTCAGCCTCAACGCCTTTTGTGCATGTCGCTTCATGTTAGTTGAAATCTGTTCTTTCAGTACATTTTCTTCGCACCGTCTGTGCGATGGAGTGGGGTAAAGCGCTTAAATCTCTGCATGTAGTGTGGTGGCAGATGCTTTCGATACTCCTACTGCGGAATGTTGATCATATTTGTCATGTTTGTTGTAGTTTGGATGTCATTAAGTTACAAATTTGGAGTATTTTATTAGTTTTTCTCTTGTTTGATAATGAGCTTTGTAGGCTGATGTGGTTTCTTTATTTTCTGGTTTCTCTCCTTCACTCTCTTTGGTGCCTTGTATTTATTTACAACTACTCTTCTTAGAAGCTTTTTCTACTCTCTGCTGTTGTCCTGTCTCTTATTTTAATCTGATTTAAATATAAAATCACAAGGCTTTTTTAGATACATAATAATGAAACAGTGAGGTTTCTATTCCCATATTGTACTTCCATATTTCCAACTACATGCTGTTGCCATGGCGACTGTCCATCACAGTGTTTGATGGAAAATGAATGTCAAAAAACAAAACGACTGATGCTTGATCCAGCAGCCCACGTACTAAGGAAACAGATGGCTGAGGCAGAGACGGAGCTGATATGGAGGCTTCATGCATCCACAAAAAAATGTAATTATGCTCAGGCATGCTCAGTATTGATCCACGTTGTCATGACTAAGACAAAGAGACACAAAGCTTTTTTTGTCCTCCTGATATCACAAAGAGTTTGACTGAATGGACAGTATTGTACAGCACCATAATCAAGCATAAATGAAGCATGGATTGAAAACGTGAATCTACCTTTATAGGTGCCATTAAGAGACAATTTCACTATAATCAATATAGTTTATTCTTAAGACCACCACAGCACATGCACAGACTAATAATTACTCCCATCACCACTGTTTTCTTCTTTCTGAGCTGTGAGGGAGCAGACAGACAGACGAGAGAAAGAAGTAAAGAATCATGCTGCCTTTTTTTATTTTGATGTGATAGACCTTGAGCTACTTGTTGTGCTCATAGAAAGTAGCCCACGTGGCATTGTTATGTGAGGGGCCATGTTTATAGCTACACAAAGCATTTTGCAGGGAAATCACAGATCATTAGTAACAAACACTGATTTTGTTTTTGGAAACCCAGAAAACTAGTTCTGTAGTCTCAGGTCTACCATAAAATGATGTGTCGGTACACACTGGTTTAAAGGAATAGTTCAACATTTTTAAAAATGCAGGGGTTTTCTTTCTTGCAGAGAATTAGATGAGAAGATCTGTGCAGATGTACGGAGCATAAATACGAGAAGCAGGTGGAAACAGCGACAGCAACAATGTAGCTCTGTCTAAAGTTCAAAACTCTGCACAACAGCACCTCTGAAGCTCACTAATAAACTGGGACCATTGACTTCCCAGGGTAATGTAAACACAGTGAGCTGCACAGAAGGACTGGGTGGATGACATGCATACAGCATGCAATTTCCTCTAAAACCTTTAAAAGTCTTTATGCTAAGCTAAGCACATCCTACCTACATATATACATATACTACATACATAAAGACATGAGAATAGTATTGATCTTGTCGACCTGGCCCGAGACTCTCACATAAATATTGAAACAGCTCACCTTGCTTTATTGTCTGTGCTCTGACAAATGTAATGTAATGTAATTACCAGTTTTATTCCATGCGTCATATGGAATCAACAGGAAAACATTTTTCTATTTGTTTCATAAATGTGTTTTTTGATTAATGTGTAGACAGCGGTCTTTGTGCTCTGTGGTTTCTTTATATTGAGCAAAGAAAAAGCAAATATTGTGTAGAGGTATTGTTTACACAGATACCACTTTCATTACCGTCTTGTCACTTTTCAAGATAGGCCTTATGAAACCTATATTCTTGTATATCTTTGTTTGGTGTCTTATTCCCTTTCTCCCTATATATATCTCCATCCTTTCCTCTTTCATCTCCCTTATCCTCTTCCCCTCGCTCCGTCCATTCTCAGAAGGAGAGGAAAGCAGGAGGTCTATTAAAGCTCTTGTCGGGGGCGGCAGCCAAGAAGAAACCTCGCTCACCTCCCTCCTCCCCGCCCACCCACGACCCCTCATTGGCCGGGCAAGGCGCCGTGGCCACCGACCCTGGGCACCATCCTCATCACCATCACCACCACGCCCGCTCAGGTTCCTGTCCGATGGCATCACAGGGGCGAGCCGGCTCCTGTCCAATCGAGAGTGATATGGCAGGGGCCATCGGACTGGAGCCTCTGCACAGGAAGTCAGGCTCCCTGGACACCAATTTCCCCAGGTCGCCTCCGGCAACACGCACTGGCAACGCTCTGATGGTCCTCCGGCCTGAACCCAAACCCCTGTCCAGAGAAAGGTGGGCACATACATCCACACAGAAAGAAGTTAGACAGAAGTTGGAGGCAATTTTTTTTTAGCAAAAAAAGTGTTTTTATTATGTTATCAATTACAGTTTCATTGTTACATACAAACATTCCTGTCCCAACAAACACAATAAATTAAAGACACAACTGTACTATAAAACATTGTTGTCTCCATTGTTGTGTCATTGCATCCCAACCTCTCTAACTCGTTTACAGTAGGAAAAATCACTCATAACAAAACCACAGGATAAATGGAAACAAATCATTACCAGACAGAGGCTCTTTTATGAACAATAATAATCGTGCTCATAATTATGCTAATAACCCTGATCAAGGTGATTGCACAATCCATGCCCTTAGCCTCATCTTGGCACATCATCACCAACATCATCTTTAATATCTTTGCTTACAATATGTGGGCTGAAGTCCCTTAGTGCAACACTTAATACTGGTGTGAGTGATCAATAAATCATATGTTTATCCTAGAGTGGTACAACCATACAAAAACCACACACACACACACACACACACACACACACACACACACACACACACACACACAAAAATGGAAGAGGAATGAAGCATTTAATGATAGCATGGCAGCAAGAAGCTGTTGTACTGGGAGCACTGGTTATCCTACCAAACCATGCACGCTGCTTCTTCTGTGTGTGCGTGCGTGTGTGTGTGTGTGTGTGTGTGTGTGTGTGAGAGAGAGAGAGAGAGAGAGAGAGAGAGACGTTGTCTTGCCAATATTTTTTTCTAGATGTCAAACCCTGTGGGACAGTGGTACACCAACACACAGACGCAGTGGTTATCATAACATCTGATATGCATATCAGATGATAGATTACTGGCTTTTGAATAATTCCAGATATAACACAGAACAGTGTTTGGGCCAAAAACTCTCCAATAAAACCCACTGCAGCTTTTCACACAAACCACGATTTATCAAAGCCAAGTGGAAGCAGTCACACTCTGATTTGTTGCAGGAATGAATTCTCAAGTGGGAAAAATCCAAACAATTGAACATGTAAATTAGATGTTCACAGCCATGTGACTGCGACTGAGTTTGAAAGTAGCTTTCAGTGAACTCAAACATAAACAGTAAAGATTTTGTTTAGATGGTAATCACTCAGAGTTAAAGAGGGCGGCAGCTGCCATTCTGGACCAACATTCAGCCATCACACAGGCAGAAATGAATTTAGGAATGTCTACACTGAAACCATATATACATAATAACATAAATAATGACATAACCTGTTATTACAAACATAAAACATAAAACTAATTACAAAAAAGGCATTCTGGGAAATGCAGGAAATTACTAAATGAATTAAGCAAAGAAGGTTGATGGAACACAACCACGAAATACTGATTCTCTATTCGGAGAATCAATATTTCCTTTTACCCATATTTTACTGTCTGTAGTTGGGAACACGCTGTGAATACCTTCCCCTGAACTATTACTGATTATTGTGAAAGAATTAAAAGGATAAAAAGATACCTGCACTACTTAAATTATTTAATGCGAGTCATGTCAGCGTGTGTCGATGCCCACAGCGTTGTCTGTGTGTAATCACTCTCTCTGTGTGCGGCAGGTATCGCGTGGTGGTGCCCTACCCGCCCCAGAGCGAGGCGGAGATCGAGCTGCGGGAAGGGGACGTGGTGTTTGTCCATAAGAAGAGAGAGGACGGCTGGTACAAAGGCACCCTGCAGAGGACAGGACAGACCGGCCTGTTTCCCAGCAGCTTCGTCGAGAGCTTCTGAGCTGGAAAAAGTGGACAAAAGAACACATACTGTTCCTGTTTCTGAGTCGCAAAACACACACACACACACACACACACACACAGCTACATACGTACACAAAAGGTTGGGCCGACATTGGTTTCCCAGAATTACACTTTTGTATTAAAAACGCTGCTTACCCTGAGAAAAAGGAAGTCTGGATTTGTAGTTTCACCTGATGATCAAAATGCGTTTTCCCCAAAAAAAGAAAACACTGGAATAAAAATAATTCAACTAAAAGCTACTGGCACAAAACATAATTAATAGTAGTTGTTTTCAGAGAAACCAATATCGGTCCAAGTAATTCACACACACACACACACACACACACACACACACACACACACACACACAATAGGAAAGCTAGCCCTGGCTCCGACCAGCCACACAGGGAGCAGGGCAACCTTTCCTGTCATTCGCCCGGGGACAGCGTTGGGGTCAGAGGGGCTTCACCAGATCTGTTGTCTGGACCCGTAATGTTGACTACTGAAACCGCACAGACTCAAAGAGCACAGAAAGACAAACCCTGCCTCCCAGTTCTCCTCCTTGGCATCATCCACCAGCAAACACTAGCACAAAAAGCATTAGCTCTGCTTTCCACTGAGACCTCAGAACTTGAATTCGGGTGCTTTCTTTGTTTGAAAAGTGAGGATTTATCACCAGGTGAAGAGGGAAGTGTGTCCAGGATCATTGTAAGCACATCTCCGTGTCTAGTTTGTGACAACAACCTCTAGTTTCTTAACAACACGATATATGTTAATAACAATGCATGTAGCATTATTATGTTGTTTTTTTTATATATATATATATATGTTGAAATAGATGTTTGTGTTGTCCCAAACTAGTCATGCTGTGATGATCAGTCACAGGAATTGTAATTTAAAAACAAATGGTGCAAAAAGTAAAATATTATTTAGGCGATTCATTTTTCTATTTATATATCCTGCATACATTTTCACACCCATTTTTCAAATTTAAAATCTGTCCTTTATAGACCACCCATAGCTGGGTTGAACTGCATAAACTGGCCTGCTGAATGTAGGAAGAAACTCCTTAAAGAACTGATTTGTATTGATAAAGTTGTTTTGATCTTCTATGCGGGATTATAGCGACAAAAAATGCACTTGGTAATATTTAATACAACCTGCCAATATATCTACATATACAGTATTGTACACAATCCGTTATTATTTATTTGACAAAAGGAATTTCTGTTGCTACTGGCATTCTGTTTTAAGGTTGTTTTTTTTTCTTTAAGCAGGCACAAACTTCTTTGGTAGGACAAAGTAATACAAAATCTTAATCCAGTCTTTTAAGATTGAAGTATTCCTAAACAAAGCAACCAAAAATATAGTTACCGGTACTAATGCAGTTGGTCCTAGGAAACATCTATTGGAAATACAATACATTATTATTATTATCACAAAGATTGCTAACAGTAATTCCTCTTCCTCAGCCTTTTCTTGAGGTACTGTTGAGATTTTTTGTCAGACTACAGCAATATTGTGAAACCAAAATGTGTGCAGAATAGATCCAGTGCTCACGGGACAATGTACGATCGAGGGGAAAACACCCGAAGTCAGAGGGCAGGGACACACGTTTTTCATCACACAACTGCCAACCTTTGACAACAACTTTTCCTCTGATATTGTCAACCTTTAACAAGTATTTTTGTACGGCTTCAGTGAGTGTGTAGTCGGTCTGCTTTGTGAATCTCTACATCCTGAGTGTGGATCCAGGCTTGTGTAGTTTACATCCACCCACAACCATCTACCTTTTTTCCCTGTTTCTGGAGATAGAAGCACAGCGAAACTCAGACCTTGACTGGCTAACTGTGTGTGTGTGTGTGTGTGTGTGTGTGTGTGTGTGTGTGTGTGTGTGTGTGTGTGTGTGTGTGTGTGTGTGTGTGTGTGTGTGTGTGTGTGTGTGTGTGTGTGTGTGTGTGTGTGTGTGTGTGTGTGTGTGTGTGTGAGAGAGAGAGAGAGGTTAAGGGGATTTTAATACCGGCCTATGTATCAGTGAAAGTTAAAGGGCATGAATAGATTTCCTTACCTGCTTGAGCCAGAATGAAGCACAAACAACTGCTGGCCATGTGCACGAAGGTGAGGCTCACTCATTGGCTGAGCACACACAACGTCTAACTGGGTCATTACCAGGTGAGAGTGTGCCATTGGCTAACCACACTTCAGCGCATTCACGTCATATGGGAATGACAAATGCGAAATTGTACTTATGTGATGCGACATGGCTTGTTTTTTTTGGTTTTTTGTCTTGTTTTGTTTGTTTTTTTTGCACTGCATCAGTGAAAATCTTCTCAGAGTCAACAAAACGCTGAGTGTCAAAACAGTTTGGAAACTTCTGTCATGTCTTATTCCCATATGATGTGGCTGCGGAATAAACACTTAGATGGGAGACTCTGCAACGAGCTCTCCACAGACGTGCAGACAACAAGCACAAGACAGACAAAAAATCTGACTAAAAAGAAAACTCTCGCCCCCTTTTCCCCCAGATTGTTAAAAGAAAAAAAAATAAGAGTAGGATTAAAATGAAACTATTTTTTGTCAGTTTTAATGTTTTCATGTTCACCTTAAACTTGAAGTGGAGGTGCGTTGTCACTGAGGAGACAAAAGTTTGGGGGGGGTTCCCCCTGCTGTTAGATTTCGGGGGAAGGAACTCGACCCCGATCCCTTAAACTGTGAAGAAAAGTGATCAAAAACATGTTAGGGGAATAAACTTTACAAAGTACACACACACACACACACACACACACACACACACACACACACACACACACACACACAGTCACACAGTCACACAGTCATTGCAGAGAGCAGCATGCTCTGAGATCCTCTCCTGGCTGCTGGCAGTGCAGCATGGGTAATCCTGTGCATCTGGAGCAACAGATGAAACCTAGATTAAGATTTTTTTTTTCCTCCAGCAGGTCACAGCTCAACTGGAGACTGTAAGCCACATACTCAAACATACATATAAAAGACTGACAAATATCACTTTCCAGCTAGAATCCTGGATATGAAGCGGTTGGTTTGATTATTGTTCAACCTATTTCACACAAGTGTACTAGACTATGATATTTCTGTGACTTGTATTTGGGTGTTTTGGTTCAGCCAATGAAAAGTAAATGTCAAAATCTGTCAGAAGATATTAGTAATTGGAAGCTTCAATCTAAAAATATTTGCATTGGCCTTCAAAACCTGTCAGTCAAACCCTGGTGCCTACAAATGCCAACACACACACACACACACACACACACACACACACACACACACTAAGTATTTACATCAGGCAGGCCAATCCGTCTTTAGTCTCTTCCTTTCTTTAATATCGGTACGACGAGCCTGCTAGTTGTTTTTTCTCATAGCTCTGTTCTGTTTGACTCGATGACAAAAACCAGCAGATCCCAGAACAGCGCTGTTAAAAAAAAAATCCCTTATCTGTTTGTTGAACTACTAGAGGACTCTAATTTCTACTGAGTCAAACTTAAGCACAAGTCCTCATTTGTGTCTGAGATCAACAGATCTCAGCGCGTTTTCTGTTTTTTGCATGAGGCTGATGCTGTGAGGAGGAGGAAGAGTTTACAACAGTTGAAACATCAGGAATGAAACCACTGCACGGTGGTCACTTTACGTCAAATATCTTGAACAAATGTTTTCATGCCGTTTGTGGGGTTTTTTCCGTGATGTAAGCTTGTTTTTTTGTCTCAGCTTCCTGTTTGTAAATTCCACTTGACTCAACTCATGGTGACGGGCTTGAAAAATGTGAACAAGCCATGAAGAGCGGTGGTAATTTCCATTGGACATGAACGCAACATGAAACATACCATTGTGTATCCAGTTTTTCATTGGACTTGATAGGAAATTACTGTTCACTCCCTTTTTTTTTGTCCTCCCAGGAAGCATTCACCCTGCCATCTTGAATTAGATGTCGGCCATATTTGTTCCTATGGATACTTGAGTGTTTGACTGTGTGTGTGTGTATGTATGGTGTGTGTGTGTGTGTGTGTGTGTGTGTGTGTGTGTGCGCGGGGAGGGGGGGGGGCCTCTGTATGTAGCTCTTTACATAAAAAAGGAACTTTATGAATAAGTTTGGTGCGGCATCATGCCTCATCAGGCCTGTGTCGGGTTGAAGACAGCGGTACAGTGAGAGAAACAGAAAAGAAAAAAAAAGACAGTATATATATAATTCTATATTGTGCAGAATATTTATAGGCCTTTTGTGCCATTGAAGTCATGCTCTGCACTGGCCATGCCCAGCGCTCTCTACCATGTGATCATTATACATCGTCTTGTACTGATGACCCGTGGCTGATTTGATTGTTTTTTCATGTCAAGTGCATTTTTCGCAATAAATGCCTTTGTTTTAAAACTGATATTCTCTGTCTTTCTTTTTGCATCTGCCTGCAGCTTTATAATGGAGTTAACAGAGAAAGTGATAGGAAACACTTGTGTACTCTGATGCATAACAAACACATTACCTGTATGGCTCATTAGGGCTTTACAGTTGCCCTTTGGAGGATTCATCCCGAGAATCATATTATATCCTGCTCTAATTCTAATTATCTGCGCACACAATGTGCTCATTATGAGCTTATGAAGCTTTACGAGCAACACTCCAGGTACAGTTGTCTGACAGTGTATTACCGTCTTTATCATTACAGACATGCTAACAAAGGATGTTTGGAAATACTCTGTCTTTTTATCCTTCCCTCCATCTTCTTTCCCTTATGTCCTGCCCTTTCCTCTTTCTCTCCCTCTGTCTCTCCTCTCCTGTGTTCTCAAGCCAACAGTGGCATGAACGAGGTGTGTAATTGGTAATTTCAGAGCGTCGCCGGCACTCCCCTTAAATGACAACCTCATCTCTCCAGCAGCCGGGCCTGTCTCCAATGATCACCTCCATTTGCATTTAGAGTGACTAGGAAAAGGTGACAAGGGTATGTGTGTGTGTGTGTGTGTGTGTGTGTGTGGGAATGACTTGTGTGTGCAAGAGCAGGGAGTATGACAGCTATCTTGGATGTAAGTGCACACAGAAAAACTTGACACTAACACACAAACTCAGGCTGCTACATTTAAGGTGAGCAGAAGGCAGGCAGCAAATTTAGATTTTTTTATTTTTTATTTCTGCAGTGCAGCGATAGTGTTCACCTCTGGCAGGAAAACTGGGAGATATCTCTTCCCACCCAGAAAGGTAAAGGCTAAAGGTGTCTGTACACACATACACTTTCTCCACAGTTTGCCTTGGTGAAACGGTTCTCCTCGGGGCGTCCTCTTCCCAGCGAGGTGCTGCAGACCCCTGCAGGGAATCGATCAGCATTCTTCTGCTTTACGCCAGACCTGTCTGTCTACTTGTCTGTGTGCCAGCTGTAAGTCACATGAAGGGCAACAAATCTGGAGGGTTAGACACTGCAGGGAACCAGACCTCTACCAGACAGTACAGGGCGGTCCCTCTGTGTGAGTATGTTCAGATATATAGTCAAGTGGTGGGCAGGGAAGATGTTAAGCTACTGCTGTACCCTAAATCTTCCTCCTAAGGAAAAGGGAAGCTTGTGGTCATCCTCTATCCTCTTAGCTTCTGATAAAAGGGAAAGACATGAAGAAGTCTCTACAGTGGGTATTTATTTTATAATGAATCACAGCGGTGGAGAGGAATGACTGTAGTCTGAAAAAATTTATTTAAAAATGAGTTTCAGGACCAATTTCCAAATGATGACTTGTGATAAACCTGCATGAAATAAAACACTTAAACTAGAACATGAGCTACTTTGGTTTTAAAGAAAAAGTAGCAGGAATTCATTAATTAGGCACCGTATTGTGAGATAAAAACAAACAAACAAGACAAGCAGAGTGTATCATGACAAAAATACAAAGATTTATTTAGAAAGCAGGAAAAAAAAGCTCCCAAATAACACTGTTTATTCCTTAAATACAAGTGTAGTACAAACAAGACAACTGTTAATCCATTAGGCATTGGTGTGTTTCCCTGGATGTAAAAGTTAAGTGGATAGTGGATTTTTGTAACGTTCACATAGATAAGGCACTCACACATCATAAGCACTAGTGTAAATATAAAGTGGCAGTGTCTGTGAGTAAATGGTAGTTTATAAATCACACTTTACTGGGAACCAGTACCACAGTGTTCTGGTTTAGTCTGTACTGTTAAAATGCTTTGAGGTGTGAAACCCTGTCTCATAATGACTCCAGAAAGAAAGAAAAAAAGAAATAAAAAAAAAATACAGTCACAAATCGAACCTCCCTCTCTTCGTGCATTCCCCTCAACACTGACTACACATGATTTCCGTGAGTCAGCTGTTTTCAGCCTGACTTCCACGGTTTGTGTCAGAAGGAAAAATAAGGGAGCAAGTAAAACAAAAACAAAAATATATATATATATGAATATATATGCAATAACATGTACCTAATCCGAAACCCAAGCATCAGCCTCACCCTCCTAGAAAACCGTAAAGCTGTGATTGGACAAAAGAAGTTTAAACCATTTCCCTTTAAAACAACTGAGAATCAGAGTGGCTGCTGCAGGTTTTTGTAATGCTGGTGTACTCACAGTAAAAGTTTATAACATCAAGGAGGTGTGAGGAAAAAAAAAAAAAGCCAAACATAATACAGAAGATGGATAAGGAATAATAATGCCCTGTGCTTATGTCAGCCCTTTCCAGACATGGTCTCTGCAACATTGCTAGCTACAAATCTGTTAAATTAAAAGGAAGTTTTGGCATTCAAACATATTGTACACAGGCCTCTGTGGAGTCAATATTCTGTAACGGCTCTATTTAAAATATGACAGGGCAATTACACATAGAGCTGCAGCGCTCGCACTATATTCCTTCTCACCGCAGCGGCAGCACTGCTGGAGAACAGCTGTGTGTTGAATAAATAATAACGTGATGGATTGTTGATTGTTTATCTCTCTATTATCTGCTCGCCTCCGCTTCTCACTAGTCTTACCAACCATGTGGATCTCCTGATAAATTTGTCTGTCATCAATTATGTATAGAACATAAAATCCTGCTTCCTATTTTATACCATCTGACAATGCCAAGATGTAGTTAAAAATAACAAGCTGTTGAGTTGTGGCATGCTGTATTTAAACACTTTGCTGGATTTTTAAGTGGTTGGCATGAACAAAAGCTGAAAATGTACGGAGACTAATGTTCTGACGACTACTGTGGCTGTCTGAAGGGTTTTGCTCCACTTTTACCTCACCACAGAAAAAATTAAATGAATGAAAATACAGAGTCATTTCTTCTACACGTTAAATTGGTTTCATTTACAGTCTTTTACGTTTCTTTGTGCATTAGAAAGCTACAATAGCATAAGGTATTTATGCTATTGTAGCTTTTACTTTATGTTTGCATTCGCTTACAACTTGAGCTGTGTTAGAGGTGTAACATAAATTTTACTACGTCGGACAGATTAACATCATACGCATACTTGTGTACTTGTTTTGACATTGAGACCAAAATCTCCTCATGAAGACGAGCATGTCTGTAAGAGGCATGTTACAGAAGTTTGACTGTCTCTTTAGCGAACTCCTAAGACTGCGTTCCAAATCAATAAGAGTGCTGTTATTATAGATATGGCAGACAGATTAAATGTAACTGAAGAGGTCCCTTTCAATGTATTGTTTGTACCTATTCAAGTCCTTTGATTAATGTACAGCATCTAGTGAGGAGGCTGTGTGAGGATCAACACCCTGGGGTGCCCCTCAGTCTGGGCAGAAGTTTAAAAAAAAAAAAAAAAAAAGGGGAGGTATATGGAAAATAAAGGTTTTATATAAAAATGAAAGGATAAATATAAAATATTACACAGAGGTATAAAACCCACAAAGAAGATTAAAAATACCATTGAGGAAAGTGTACACAGGATTCATGGGTACAGTCATTAAACTTTGGCACAAAATCAAAACTCACACTCGCACACACTGCTGGTTTGTGTGGGGGTTTCCTGATTAGTGTTTGAGACTGGCCACAAAGGGCTGGAAAAGATGTGGGCAGAATGTCACTGGTTATACTGGTCATACTAGAGTGTACTTCGGCTCCCGATGTCTTCACATGAAGCCAGAGCTGGAAGAGAGAACAATAGGCAGTTGAGTGAGTGGAGAATTCATTTTACAGTAAATTCTAAACTTACATATCTCACACCATATCCCTGAATTTACTGTCAATTTACTATGTGGCTCTATTACATAGTTTGTCTGTAAGCCACTTAAAGCCGAAGTGGCCTTTTGTTTTTTGTTGGCCTTTTTTTTTTTGATAACACAATATCCCACCCAGTTAACACAGGTAACACATCAAACCCAGTTTACTGTCTAAGACTGCAAACTGCCATCAGCACAATATGAACCATGTCAGTCAGGTACACAAATCTTAAAGGCACTCAGCAGTCATCACATTTGTTTCCCAACATTCATTTTACCAGCAGGTGGCAATGTGTCCTACATTATATAAAATGCTTTAGTATTGAACCCACTGTCAACAGGAAGTCACTAACAACTCAAAACGTTTTGTTTCACTCACTGCCTACAGATGTGTAAACCTCTGGATCCTGAATATTTCCATGAAACATCAGCAGTAGCTTTAGAGAAGCTGCTTACTTCTTGCGGTCCTTGTCTTTCTTGCCGTTAGCGGTGAGGCTCTGGGCCTGCAGGAGCTGGGCGGCAGCTCGTCTCTTGCTGAAGGAACTCTGGTCCTCGTCCAGGAGTCTCTTCTTTTCCTCCAGAGCTGCTTTCTCATCTGCATGGAGGCGCTTCAGCTGCTCAAAACGACTTTGCAGCTAAAACACACGCAGAGAACAGAGCTGAGTATCAAGTAGAAGCAGCAGAAACATTAGTGGTCTGCCTTTCAAGGTAGTAAATTAAAATGATTAGGTAACCACATAATGTGGTTTTAAACTGTCACACTGAAATTAGATGTGCAATTTTAAAAACATTTGATTGACTTCGTCTGGAAAAAAGAAATATAAACCTTGATAAAGGAAAAGAGTTTGTCGAAATTTTGTTTCTTTATTCATAAAAGGATGAGCACACTAACAAATTACAACTTTTGAGGGCTAAAACAGTCAGTAACAGTTTAGTACAGTGGGTCACAGCTGAACCGGCAGGTCTGTAAAATGTTATACTGTAGATGTTTACAAAGGACTGTACTTTAACTGTTCGCCATTGTTTACTCTTCCAAATAACTAATAAGTAACTAACCTGAGGTTTCTTTAAAACTTGTATAATTTCCTTGGACCTATTTTTAGCGACGTTGTTGCCAAGATCTCAGCAATTCTTTGGCGAGTATAATGTTATCATAACCGCTCAATGGCCAGGGCAACAAATAAACTACTGTTTTTCCTTTAAGAAAAACAAAACACCCCTAGGCATAGTGTGCACCCAGTTGAGACTATTTGAGTTTGTCTACATACCTCTCTCTCAGCCTCCTTCAGCTCAGACTCCTTCTCCTTCACCCTCTGCACAAACATCTGCCTCATCTCGTCCTCTCTCTTCTGCAGCTCCACCAGGAACTCCTGACGCTTGGCTTCATAAGTCTGCTGCAAGCTACACACACACACACACACAGTTGGCAATCGTGCCAGTTGTACATTTTTGTCTGTACAGGAGCTTTTGAATTGGCAGCTCACCTGACAGGTTTGCTCTCTGGGCCGGTGTCTTTAAATCCCATTTCCTCCAGTTTGCAGCGTCTGTACAGTTCGTAGTGGCGAGTGTGAGTCTGCTCCCTCAGGTCCTCCATGTTTACACAGATCAGCATCTCTCTCAGTTTCACAAAGTCACAGTGATTCTCGTTCTCCACTGACACACACACCAGTAGATATGAGACAAATAAAAGGGTTAGCGATAAATCTGATATATTATATAAATATATAAATATTGTACATTTCAATAGATATCCTCAACATGTTTTTAAAGCAGGCTAGAAAAGCGTTTGAAAATGTTTTTAGATGGCGATAAGACACTGAAACTCCCCACTGACAGCCAGAGTAATGATTTTTTCTTTACTGTTGGCTGGCAGCTAACACTGACTGCACTGGCAGGAATTTGCTGATTTCAAAGTTAAGTTACAGTGTACTGAGTTACAGTGAAATTTGTGATCATTTCTACAAGTGTGATAACTCTTGTGAGGGGAAAACATTTAGGTCTGAAAAGATAAATAAAGGTCCATTAAATCAATGTGATCCTAGAATTAACAGCAAGCTATTTGACAATACACTCGAACAATGATCCATCTTACCTTGTACCACACCCCACGGATATTGACGAGCCTTCACCATCTTATTGCCAACAGAGACCTCCTCTGTGCTGCCAACTACAGCAAACGGCAAATGACCCTACAAAAACAGTTTATTTTATTATGTAACATAAATGGATCCACAATACAAAATACAAAAAATGCAAATAAAAGTGTATTTATATACTCATAGAGTCACAGCTATGTGTGACTGCATGTTTAGGTTATTTTTTAAATCTTGCTGATGCGACAGAAACGCAAGTTTTATTCTAAAAATAAAGCAACTGCAAACCTATGGGAATATTGTGTAGGCAGACTGATGACTGAGCGGAAAAACTCACCCAAACAAAAGATAAAAAACCTTTCAAAATGAGTTTTAAAAAGTAAGAAATATATAATATTTGTAGAACCATTGGGGTTAGTAATATAATTGAATCAATACTGTTTTTGCCTCAACCAACCAAGAGATTCTGGTGAAAGAGGAGCAGTTGTTCAAGGTGGTGTGTGTGTCTGTGTGTGTGTGTGTGCGCGTGTGTGCATTTCCTTACATTCATTGTAGTGTTGACCTTAGCTACAGTCTCGTCATCCAGGGGGAACTGGTAGATCTGGACGCCGTTGCTGACAAGCTCACTCATGATTTTGATCTTGAACTTGTGCAGCTCGCTCTTACTGATGGTGTCAGCTTTGGCGATCACTGGGATGATGTTCACCTACAGCAAGATGGGATATATGTTCATGTACATGTACAAAATAACAACAATCAGAATTCAGAGATAAATTAGACCTTGAATGTGATCCGGAAAAAAACATATGCATATAGTTTCCATAAAGAACATAAAGAACTTCTAGTGGAACTACAAGTGAGGCGCATAAGACAAAAATATGACTGGATGATAAAAAGTTTAGAGACGTTGCATCTGATTATATTCATACATTTTCACATTTTCCCATCAGATCTGAGACTCTTATGACAATAGCCAAATACCACTGAACTCCCTCATAGTCACCCATTTTGATACCAAAAAGATGGATGACTGGATGTCAACATCTAATCCACTATGCCTGTCGCCCCCATGGTGTGGTAGCAGTTATGGTTAATGTTAGTTCTGAATATAGTAACTTCCTTGAACTTTGAGCAGAGCTGCTCCCGATGCCAAAGACATCTAGCACCAGAGCTAAAACAAGCTAATCTCACTCATCAACATACCATACCCTGCAGACACATCAGTCTGACTGTGGCAAAGTACAAGCAACAGTACAATTAAAACAAAAACAAAAAAGTTAATTATTTCAACAGTATTTGTTTTTATTACTTTATCTGAAATACTGCTTTTGGATAAGTGTTATATAAACCAGGTTTACTGATGTTATTTTTGGCCCAGCAGCCCACTGTGCTATCCAAGTCGTCCCACATTCCAGTCCTGCCTGTCTGTCCGTCATCTCGTCGTACCAAAGAAAGGCTTGGAATGAGTTGTTGTCACTAGACAAGCTTCTGGGCCAGACCACACACCCATAAAAAAAAAAAAAAAAACACACACACACACACACACACACACACACACACACACACACACACACACACACACACACACACACACACACACACACACACACATACAGAAAACACACTGATCCCAGCAGAGAAAACAAAACAATGCTAGGAGATCTGTTCCAACAGCTGTCTGTGTGACTGACTGTCTCTCCGTCAGTGCTGCATATGCAACAAATGGCTCATTCTGTGTGTATCTGTACAGTGACACAAAAGGACAACTCAAGTGTGTGTGCGTGAGGTGATTACAGCATTCCACTGCTTTTTCTACTCCATTCACACGCAAATCCAGGGTTACTGACACTCCAGAGCAGCGAAATCACACAAACACACAAAAAACACAAAGTCACTACACACTGAGAGCATGGGAAAGTTTGTGACCACTTCAAGGGAGGGGTTTAGCCAAATGGATGGTGAACCTCTCCCAACAGTCAGACATAAAAACAGCAAAGTCTAGAAACAACTACAGCACAGTCTCTACTGCCCATTAACACATACACATCAGTTAATCAGATCTCATGTAATGTTCACATCGGATTCTTCAGTGTACAATGTGTTCCTACTGACCAATAATAAATAATCATATCTCCTGTCCACAATATGCAGGTCAGTGCTTTATGGAAGCCCAACGATTTGATAGGTCTATTTTAAAACATCCCTGTCAATAGAAGTCAGTCCAAGAATTACAGACACATTTTAGGTCAATGCACCATCATCTCTCCAAAGTCAATTACCGGCGATATACGCCTTGTTGATTGACATCAGCCTATCGGCAAATAAAGTGCCGTTCACCCATGTCAGTGTGGCACATAAATTCTGCACTGCACTCAGATACTGGAGCAATAATCACTTCCATTTTCCAGCACAGCCACAAATTGCAGGCAAATACCTATGTGCTCCATCCATCAGCACAGACAGTGAGCAGCTGTTGAGCTCTGCATCTCACATGTTGGATGAAAAGAGAAATAGACAGATGCGACTTTACTTCCCTGGCACAAAAGAGTGAATAAATAACTAAAAACGTGAGTATCGGCTAAATTGTTATTTTAAAAATCGGTATCAGTCCAGAATTTCCCAATCGGTGCATCACCATCCAACACAACTTGTACTATCCCAGTATAAGGAACCATTTTATAAATTTGCCCGATGTTTTCCAGACTAAACTGTCCTGTATATTACAGCTCTGGGTGGGACTGTTTTCTTAATCCAACTCCCACCTGTTGGATTTCTGATCATTACCACCTGCTCCCGCTATGTGTGTGTCCACTCCCACCTGCTCTCAAGCATTCTGACCATTCACACCCACACAGTACAGATTATGTGTCTCCTGTTCAACAGGTAAAGACAATATTTTACTGTGTCGGTAATAACTGAGAAAGGTTTCCAAATATGTGTAAATGCTGTGCTTTTGTTTGGTAAAAACTCTTTTTAATCTTCCTCTCGACTTCATTTGTTGACCATCCTCTGGTGACCTGCAGTTGTTTTTTTGACCACCTGCTCCTGTGAGATTTGCATTGGGTCCTGCAGGATCCCAATCCCAATGCAAATCTCTACTGTATATCTGTCTGGAAAAACCAGTACCTTTGAATAGTCTGTGCTATTTCAGAAAAGCCACCTAATGTATTGACAAACCAATACATCAGTCTTTAACACACACACAATCAGTTATCCATCCCCTACCTTGCTGTCTAGTTTCTTCATAGTGACCAGGTCCAGGGATTTGAGTGAATGGCCTGAGGGGGATATAAAGTAAAGGCAGGCGTGGACTCGCGAATCATGGTAGTTGTGAAGAGAGCGCTTGATTTTTAGCTCCTCCTGTAGATAGCTCTCAAACTGCCTGTCGATATAGTCCACCACCGGCTGATAGCTAAAGGACAGACATATAACAGGCTGATCAGAAACTTGAGGATTATGAATGGTAAACACAGATTAGTTCACAAAAGCAGTAAATTCTAAATAATTTAGTTAAACGAAACACTGATTCTTAATCACATTCTCCCTCTCGAACACACTGAATACCTCTCTTGTTTGTTCATTTGGTCTCCGAAGCCCACGGTGTTGACCACAGTAAGGCGTAGTCTAACGTTACTCTCCTGTAGATCGTAGGTTTGAGCCCGTAGCTTCACCTGAGGCTCAAAGTGGGACGACTCAAAGTTCTCAAAGTTGGTATTGAACAGAGTGTCCATCAGGGTAGACTTGCCGATGCCAGTTTCACCTAGAGCCAGAAAAAGATGGGATACAAGTTTATTTATTGAACTTTAATTCAATTTAGTAGTGTAAGCATCAGAGACTGCCACAAACTTCAATTACTTTAAATGCAATATTCCTAAAATTAAAATTTACTAGGGCAGGGGTCTGCAACCTTTACTATTAGAGCTAGCAGCGTTGGTGGTGAAAGCATAGCATGCAGTATTAAATTCTCTATTTTCCTCAGACATTTTGGGGGGATTAGTAATCCATAGCTGGCCCAGCTAGCCAGACTCAAAACTCAAATAAAATTGAGGTTTGGCAAAATACATAAGAAAAGGTCAGGATGTAAAGTATAAGATAACTATAGTTAACAAAATGTTAAAAAGATTATTTATTTGGTGTACTGGCTACAAATTTGTCCAATTGGAGAATGTAAGAATCACTTACAACAATGATAAATGAAAATGAAAATGTTAAAAAGTAGCCGTTATTTATTTCCACATATTTTTTTTTTGAAGCCACAGGGAGCCACTGGACAGGGGCTAAAAAGCCACAGGTTGCCTACTGCTGTACTAAGGAAAAGGATGACTCAACACAAAGCTGTAAATCCACCCTCAAGCTGCACTGGAGCAGTGGGGGATCGGCACCTTGCTGAGGACGAAAAAATATAGCTTATTCATCCAACCACACATTTACCAGCAGGTCAAGAAACAGGTTTGAAAGAGCCGCATCCTTTTCTTCACAATGCTCCTTCGACCTATTGTCTACCTCAGCTGCTAACAGACAGGCTAAGGCCGTATTTCCATTACATAGTACCGTACGGCTCGATTCTACTCGACTCGCTTTTGGTACCTCTACTTTGTTTTCCACTGCAGACAGTATATATAAGTAGAGCTGACCGTCATAGTGATGCTATTTCAGGAGTTTGGCAACAACACACGGAAGTTACAGCCTTCATTTACAGACAAACTGTAACCTACACTGTACATTTTCATGCCAGAGTGACAACTCCCATTTTCATCAGCAGCACTCACATTCATCACCACTCTTTTTCTTGCTCAACCACACATTTATAACACACACAAAAAGAAGTCACACTAATTTTGTAACGGTGGATATGATGCGATGTTGTTCTTGATACATCTGCAATTTGTCAATTGACCATGACATGGTTGTGCTGGCTGCTGTTTTTGAGTGAATTAAAAAAAATTGGGGTTGCTGCCGATGGTGTTTTGGCTATTTAAAGTTTGTGCAGGACATTTCCCTCTGACCAATCAGTGGTATTTTTATTTTATTTTAGTAGTAACATCCTGTGTGCATCTGTGTTTCAGTGTGTGTATTGTTGTGTATGTCTGAGTGTGCATGTACGTCAAGGTACCGATGCAAAGTATATTGAAGCAGAAGCCCTGGCAGATCGATTTGTTGACGAGCTGATCCGGGAGGCTGTCAAAGCCCACATGGCCAGCCAGGGACAGGGGCCGGACTCCTTTGTCCTGAGGAAGAAATCACACATACAGACAGATCATTCTTAAGATGATCGAGCCATTTTCTCCTCAAATAAGAAAAAGGAAAATAAACTTTTAGAAGATGTTCACATGCCAGCTACTTCTTTCCAGCATCATCGAAGATTGTGGCTATATTTGTTAAACAATCCATACCATATAATATACAGATTTACATTTAGACATTCACTTAGATATGTTGTTTAACAATTAACAATTGCCCTTGAAAATTTAAATGAAATCACACAATACTTGAAACTAACAAATGTAATCTTTCAAACATCAAATGGTCCAGGCACCTACAATATCTTTACACAATTACTGCTTAATACATAAACCTTTTTAGCATGCACCCCTTTAACTCTCTGGATTTAAAGTACTACATTTACAAGTGGCTCTTGTCAACTACTACAAAACCCTAACAAATCATATCATATATTAGTAAATTAATTCCAATGTGCAAGCTACAAAAAGCCTAGCTCACTTTATATAACGTTAGTCTATCTGATTTATCTTCCTATTCTCTAATTGCCTTCCGCTGATCTGCCCCCGTCTGAACTCGTTTTAAGAAACCCTAGTATCCCCAGTCAGATACACAGAGGAGTAACACTGACCTAAAGCCAATTGTGGTGTGATATAAAGCTGCTGACGTTAAGGAAGGAAGCAACTCACGACAGACCTACAACTTCATTGTAAACTACGCGGTCTTTGTTTCGACGACGCGTTTATTTTTGGACAAATGTCCTGGTTGGAGTAACTACGTGTACGCCAAACTTCATTCAAAAATGTCGCCATTTAGTGGCTCTGGTCAAACTATTTAATAACTACCACAACCTACAAAACTTAGCAGTAAAACATGGCATAAAACTTACGTACTAGTAACTGTGGCACATGGGTGTTCAACCAGGCAGCACACAACTGTTTTCATAAACTTTTGAGTATTGAATGGCTAAGTTTTGGTTAGTGTTAGCCAGCTGGCGTACGTGTATTTTGAAGATGTATTAACACGGAATCCCTTTTAAAAAAGTTGGAAAAACCCACGCTTTATGTTCTGGATATAGGTCGACGTGAAGGGCAGATGTGTTTTTGTCTTTGAAAGTGTGTGTAAAATATGTTTGATCTGACTGATAAAACACACAGAGTAGTTTCGGGGCTAGCGGTAGCTAACTTAATGATAGCCCCGGACACTCCCTGCTCAACTGTCAAGACCACTGTCATTTGTTAACCATAAAGAAGATAAAATACTAACCGGCTGCCGAGCAACATCCGAAGAAGCCATAGTTTTTGGTCAAACGTTAATACCCCAAGATATATTCAGAAACAATACAACAAAACTGCCTTAAGACCAACTTCTTCTCTTTTTTTTTTTTTTTTTTTTCACTCCTGTTCGGGACCGCCTCACTGCATCCACCGTCGACAACTGGACAGACCGGGCTACTCAAAACTAGATAGGAATGAGGTGAAATCTGTAGTTAGAAAATAATTTGCATTAAACTAAATCACCATAATTTAGGACAGATTATCACAGGAATTAAGTAATCAAAATTTACGAGGAATAAATTACTTTACAAACTGTAAGAAGGTGTAGCCAAATAATGTTTATTTTTTGTAGTAATACAGCCCACCCCCCCCTTCTTTGTATAATGGTACAGCGCAAATTAATTTTCCCAGTCGCTTCCATGACATGTTCCGGGCTGTCAGAAAAATGTAAAGCTGATTGAGCGTAACATCTTTATAGCCTCTATTATGATGTTGATACCTGGGTTCTTATGAGTTTTAAATTGACCTCAAATAACTCACAACAAACAACAAGAATTTTGCCAATATTTGGAAAAATACGTTGGTTTTAGCGTAAATGAGATGCACTGAACAAGGCTGGTTAATATCATTACTTTGTATTCTGTGTTAGCTAAATATTTTTATTTTAGATATGAATCAGTCAGTCGTCCAGTACAGGCCACTTCTTCCTCCAGCTACCACAGCCCAGTCGACACTTGAAATAAAATTGTTTCCTCCAGATCGCTTTCACTACACGGTCGATTTTTACTAGTAAGTTGGAAATCTGAGTTTACTGAGGAGCACTTGAATGCAGCATGGCTTTTTGCCATGGTGGGCCTTTTTTTTGCTCGGTTGCTTCAGCGACGTGCGACCCCTATCTGCCAGAGCTGGACACTCCCAGTGGAGGAGAGGAGGAAACCAGTGAGGAAGATGCTGTCATCCGTTGTCACCGACCTCAGTGAATGACAGCAGCGTGAACATGGAGTCGTTTTGAATTATTCTCCTGTAACTTATTCAAGCCACCTTTCTCGCTCTGTTTTGTTGTTTTTTTGGAGGGGGTGGGGGGGTGGGGGGCACTCCTCGGGATGATGATGGCGTCCCAGTGCACGGAGCAAGCCGTGCATGAGTTCCTGATGGAGAGAGGAGGGAGGGTCCCACAGATGGAGCTGATCGATCATTTCTTATCAGTTTTGGGGAAGAATGACCAGTCTAAGGAAAGCGTGGAGCGTGAGATGCTGACCCGCATCGTGGACAACGTGGGATTCGTGAAGGTGGAAAACGGCGTGACATTTGTGTGTTTGAAAGCTGAAGGCAGCGAGGTGTCGGTGATGCGTACGGACACAGACGGCCACGATCACGCGGAGTGCAACGGTAATATCCAGGAGACAGTGGACGACAACAACTATGTGAACGGCAACCCTGACAACGGAGACCAAACAGGTGAGGGATGCGCACTTTTGTTTTGATTTATTATTATATGCGAGTGTGTGGTGATTAATCTGTTTAATTATTTTACACATATGTAAATATGTCTTTTTTTTTTAATCTAACCTATGATGTATGCATATTGTTTACTTGTTTACTTACTTGCTCACATTGTATTATCTCGCATTGGTCCTCTGAATAGCCACAACAAACATCATTTTTTGGCCATTGTCTATGAAGGCCAATATACTATACTGGCTAAAATTGTCAAAATCCACTGATCTGTGGTCTGATTTCTTTACCTCTTTCTTGCCAAAAATCACAAAAAGTCTATAATAAGTCAGGATATTTATAACACAAAGAGGATCAGAAAACTAACCTTGTGCATACCTGTGGGAAGTACAATGGAAAGGTTGTTTTGGAGTCAGTCAGGTAAAGATTATGCCATAGACAACTCCATCATGCAATGTCAGAGCTGGATGGCAATGACAACAAAAAAACAAACATGTCCAATGTTTCCACAGGAGCATCCAGCTCACTGGCTGTCAGTCTGGACAATGACAAACAGTCAAATGGCAATGGGCAACCTGCAGACCCCTCCCCGAATAATAAGACCAACACAGCAGCTCCTACCTCCAGTGGAGGAGGGGAGGTGAAGCTGAGGGAGAGGAGAAGGCGCGAGTCGGCCCCGGTGATCGGGGTGCCAGATCTGGACCAGGCTCACCCTGTGGGGTTGCACAGCCAGCAGGTGAGAGGGGCACGCAGGGTATCCAAAGGGTCCCAGCGGGCCATGCTGATCAGCTGCCTATCTGAGGACAGCGCCTTGGAAGGGCTGGACCCTATTGGAGATATCAACACACCCAAGGGAAGTCGCAGGAACTTCATAGAGCTGATGATGAGCAGTTCTCCTCAGGTAGGATACTGTGTTTCCCTGGCATGAAAAAAAAGTTATGATTAGTCATAATTTGATTTGTGTAGCAGCACCACAAAGCTTTCTACAGTGTAGTAACAAATAACTGATTCAGATATACCATTAAAATGCTGCTGCACTGCTTTTCATTGTTTCAGACTTTGAACCATGTCATACTTTTGGCCACACCTAAACCAGGGATGTCACAGCAAGTGCTTCACCTTTAGGTGTGCTCCAAAACCTTGAATGACACATAGTTGCCAATTGATGAAATTAAGCAGGTTCCCCTGGCTTTGTGGCTGTGTAACTTGTAGCAGCTGATGGACGACGCCATGTGGGTTGTGAGCAGAAATGCAATATTCATGAAGTGTGACTCCACAGCATCTGTCTTGTGTAATTGAGATATATGAAACAGTGATGTAATCTAGCTTGCCTTTTCTCTGAAGCACGTTGACCCATGACCTCCTTTTGGTCATCGGCATAATGCAACAATCCACTAAATTGACAATTTCAAGATTGATCTGTTTACTATTACAGACGTCTTTATACAATTATCCATTTGATATTTTATTGTGTAGAACGGTGGTGTTTATTATCCTGATATCTGGCCTACTTTTGTCTTAGCAGGGCAAAAACTTGTTATCTTTATATCACCATAAAGCATCCCACAGCGGCACAAAGCTAAACAGCTGCTGTATCAAATGGTGTGTGACACAAAACACTTATGTAAACGTTTTTCCCTTTGCAGGTTCGGAGGTCTCTGATCAACCGTGGTTCACGCCTCCGGGACTCAGTGAAGAGCGATGGAGATTCGACATCGCTCCTCTCCTCAGCCACTGATGAGGATTGCGCCTCAGTGACCCTGGACCCACTGGAGCACGAGTGGATGCTATGCGCCTCAGATGGCCTGTGGGAAAGCCTGCAGCCCCTGCTCTCTGTGGAGCCTTGCCTAGTGGCCAAGAGAGACTTTGTGACTGGCTTTACGTGCCTCCACTGGGCGGCTAAGCAGGGCAAAGCTGAGCTTCTCTCCCAGCTGCTAGTCTTTGCCAAGGAGAACGCTATACCTGTGAATGTAAATGTGAGATCAAGTGCTGGATACACACCGCTACACCTGGCAGCTATGCACGGACACACGCAGGTGGGTTTCATGGTCGTGGTAGTGTGTTGTCATGTGTCACACCTGCTCAGTGAAGCAGCAGATCATTGCATACACAGAATCATTAAAGTTCCTCTTCCAAACAGAGTTAATGATCTAGAAAAAGATTTTTTGTTTATCAACAGTTTTTGTTGAGAAGATCCTGTGTGTTGTCAATTATAGTCATGACCTACATATTCTTTCATTCGCTTTTAATTTAATTCAAAATACAATTCTTTGAGAGTGTCTTTTAATTGACAATGATAATTATCTGCCAAGAAATGGCTCTCTGAATGGGCTGTTTTGGGATGCATTTTTTGGGAAGATCTATAAGTCTGTCCAATGATAGGCCTCGTGGGGATTCAACAGCAAGATGTGCAAGCTTTACTCTTGTCATTAGAAAACAATAGATATTAAAACCTTTTCTTAACATTTACATTTATAAAGCAAAACTTGTGCCTTTTGGACTTAATAAAAAAGAGATACTAGCAAGGGATCACATGACATAACAATTTTCTAGAAATGTAAATGGAGTTTTAATAGACAATAAGAGAAATCCTGATCCAATAAGTCACCAGTAAATTCTGCCTAAATGACAGGTAACCAGATTTCCTGTACAGTGTGTTTTCAATGTGCTGTGATTGACAGGTGGTTCGGGTGTTGCTGTCAGACTGGGAGGCAGACCCTGAGGCGCGGGATTACAGCGGTAGGCGAGCCATCCAGTACCTGTCCCCACCACTGGCCGCTGACCTGCAGGAGGAGGGGGTGGTCCTCTCACCGGGAGCTGAGTCAGACAGCGAAAACACTAACAGCAGCAGTGGTGGAGGGCGCGGATGGCGGTTTCCCAGAGTCCTCACGGGCAATCTGAACCCGCTGAGGCTCCTGAACCCGCCTGCCGAGGCAGCAGAGGAAGCGTTCGCGACTGGAAGGACCAAGGGGGGAATCCAGAGGAAGTCGTCCCTGAGCCGGCTGAACGCCCGGCTGCACAGAGGACGCCACCGAGCCCAGATCATTCACAGCGCCTCCTTCAGGGACCCGGGGGAAGTGGGGAGAGGAGAGGAGCTCCCCAGCAGCCCCCTCCGAACCCGACCACTATCCAACCTGTTTGGATGAAGTTACACAACTCTGAAACAACGATGTAGAGATATAAACCAGATTGACATCTTTTGATTTACAAAATACAGTTTACTCACCTTTATAAGCTGTCAGGTCAGACATTTTTATGACCAAATTAAGAGTATACATCCTAATATATCACGTCAGGCTGATTTGAAAAGTTTTATTATAATAGGATTCTAAATTAATAGATGACAAATGTTTGTTTGTCTAAAAATCTAACTTATTTTTGTTCCTATTGCAGTTGTTAGGCTTATGTTGATCACTGGGGATAGGTCACAGTTCATGTAGCATTTTATTTGACACATTCACTGAGTTAAAACTGAACATCTGTTCTGTGAATTGCTTTTTACTTTTGTTTTCTTCAATGTTTTTAGGCTCTCTGTTTCAGAGCAGATAGCAAACATTACACCAGGTGTTTTTTAGTTTTAATACCTTACACTAGAACAATGTTTACACAAATGCAAAAGCAACAACCAGGATTGTATGAGAACTTTAGTTTCGACTCACAGCGGTGAGGGATTTGAAAATAACACTTAGGTTTGATTCCACACAGTTATCCTAAATCTTTGTTTTTGTTTGCAGAGTAAAGTAATATATTCATAGAACTAATTTTCTACATTTCAACCTCCTTTGACTGGATGGTGCTCACGTTTTTTGGTTGTTTTTTTTGTGTAAATTTCTTTAATGTGAATGAATCTTTTTATTTTTCAGTATCAGATTTTAGTATTCAAACTGTTATAACCACAGAACTCTTGTATGTCAAAACAACCATGTGCAGTTGTCCTGTATGCACTTGTCACTTTGAAGATAGTTTGTGATTATGGGAGAAAACAGCTAGGTGGGGCACGGGGGGCTCCAGGCTGTCATGGCTTTAGTTAGATCGAGTATCTTTATAAAGACTGACACACAGTTACACAGTAGGACTGTCTCACAGGGTGGAAGCACATGGAGAACCGATGTTGTTTATGTGAGTTTTTCTGCTGACTATAATGTACCTCAAATCCTCCGAGTCTGGTTCACTCAGTGTTACATTTCTTCATGGACCTCTTAATAGCAGACTGCTGTGTCTGTTTAACTGTTTTAGTTAAACAGAGTAGCACTGATTTGTATTACAGTAAAAATGCAATCAAATGAACTGATTCATATCCACCATATCAGTCTGGACCAGATTTTATACTTGCCCTATATTGGCCTCTTGTATTGATCTAACCTTGCATGTACACAATCATTCGTTCATTAATTATGTCATATGTGAATAGTAAAGAGTCTAGACCAGTATATGCTGTATGTGAGGAGCACATTGACTTTTTGACTGTTTTCCCAAATATCTGAACCTTACTTATACCTGACTATTGGATCAATGACACATCTTAAATTTCATGAATGTTCCTTTAGTACTTTGTAGCATTTGTACTCAAATCATAGGGCTTCATGTACTTCTATGGTTGACTCTTGATGTAGAAATGTATTGTACAAACCTACCTTGGGGAAATGTAAATGCTGTGCACTGTTATTTTTTATGTCTGTAAGTCATTGTTTACTGTGATGTTATGATGTGAATACACTGTTACTGAGCCACCGTCATCTTTCTCTTCATGTCTCATCCTTGAATGTGAAATAAAGCAATAACAGCTTGCATAAAACTAAAGTCAGTGCTCGGTTAGAGTATGCTACTAGCAGCTACAACCATCCAAGCAAACAAATATACAGACTATGTAGGAACATGGAATCAGTAGTACGGATTCAACACATGATGGCAAGTTGTCATAACGTATACAGAGTCAAATTCAACCACAAAGGACCAAAGCTTTAAATGAAGCAGGATATTTTGTTTGCCAGTTCTGCTGACACCAAGTGATTGTCCTTGTCTGGTGGTGCTGAATAATTGATGATCGGATGACCCCCTCTGCCAGCTTTGGTCCAGCATTTACAGTATATCCACAGCTTCCTGTCCACAAGCTGGCCGTGTAACACTGCACCCAATATATTCACAGCCAGTCCTAATTCTGCACCTGTTGTGTGGGTGTGGGTTGTTGGGTGTGTGGTTGTGTGTTGTGTGTGTGTGAGTGTGTGCTTCTATTGTTACAAAGATGAAACGTCCTCAGAAGATGAATGAAATTCTGAGTAATCTGGACCGACCTTTAAGTCTATACTGGTCTATTGGTTTAGGATGTAAAACGTAGAATTTTATACAAATTCACAACAATTTAAACTGCACATTAGGTTTCATCAGTATATTACATATTATAAAAGGGGACAGAGGACAAATAGTGACAAATAGTTCTTTCTGTTATGCATATAGTTGAGCCTGTTATCCCCAGCATATCACTGAGGATAAGAGGCAAAAATGTAAAAAGTTATGGTACATTTCCAGTTAATGAACTCTGAACTGTGGACTGAACAGATATCTGAGGCTCTGACAGTCATGTGGCACCAATGTTCTTCTGGCTCCCTGTTTGGATCCTCCACTTTATGTTTACCAGAACAAATCAATTACATAAAAGCAGGATCACATGTATACGGCTATTAAACTCACAATATAGATGCTCTTGAGTTAAAGTCTGCTCTTCTGATGTTTTTCTGATCTCTGTTATTGTTTCATCTAGTAGTCAAACAAGATTTATAGAGGTCACTAAAGGGACAAGCTTTTTCCTGGGCCAGTAGACTCCAGAGTCCATTGCCTTAGGCAGCCTATCTGTTAAATGACTGCTGATCGGGACGGAGTAAAGAGGCTGTCTGACTGCAGCTACTGACCTACATACAAAGTGAAGGGAGTAATTCCTATTATGTAAATTCCTTTGCCATCTTTTCAGGGAAACTGTGCCAACTTTTTTGCCTGGGGCCTCCGCTGTTGGACTAATCCATGTCCAATCCCCATCTCTCACTCTCTCCCCACAGTTACCACAGTGATGATGACATCCGTACAAAGCCTAGCTTGAGACTAACAGTGCCAGAAATAGCCATCAAGCTTGTAACTACTATGCACTGTCCCAAAAAGCCATCAAGCAAGTAACAAATGTGCACTGTCAACAGGATGTTTGGTCGTTTCAAGACATACAATGCCTATAAAGAGTATCCCGCCTCCAGAGGATTTCATGTTTTACAACAGTGAATAAAAGTAGCTTCACTGGGACCTTTTTGTAGCTAATCGACAGACAAGACTCATTAATGTCAAAGTGAAAACAGATTTCTACAAAAGGATCTACATTAATTATAAATACAAAACAGAACAGTTTATTTGCTGAAACAAATGTATTTATACTGAAATCGAAATTGTTGCCCCTTGACTAAACACAGGTTATCTCAATTCAACTGATTGTGTAACTCTAACACCAGTGGCGGAAGAAGTATTCAGATCTTTTACTTAAAGTAGTAAAAGTAGCAACACTACAGTGTAGAAATACTGTTACAAATAAAAGACTGAATTCAAATGGTGACTTGAGTAAAAGTACAAAAGTATAAACTGGGACTTGGTTACTTTAAAAATGTAATCCAATACAATTATTAATGACCTGTTAAGAAATGTCAGTAACCTAATCCAAGTATAAAGTAACATTACCACTAGACCAAATATGCAAATAAAAACAAGAGAACAGAAATATCAATAAGAAATATTGATGCAGGTGTATTCTATAAGACAACAGAACAATATTACCTTTGAAAAGAAAATGGAAACAAAAAAGTATGTCCTCTGCTCAGTGTATTTTTAAAGCAAAACTGATGTTTTTTTAAAATTGTAATCCTGCTCAATAATCCAATTTTTGAACTAAATGTAACTGTAATCTGATAATATCTTTTTTTTTCTGTAACTCTAAAGGATTCCTGTTACCTTTTTTGTATCCTGATTACATAACTACATAATTTACATGTAATCTGTTCCTCCCCAGGCTTGTGCAGCTGGTAATGCTGGGGCTAAATTTAACACTTTGTGTCCTGCAGAGTATCATAACGTATTACAATTTGTATAGTATATATGTTGTATTACATTTACTTAGTAACTAATAGCATTCAAATAAATGCAGTGGAGTAAAAAAAAAAAAAATACAATACTTTCCTCCAAAATACATAAAATAGCATAAAATGTACCTGATGTACAAACTGACCTGATGCAACACTTATAAAGTAAATGCACCTAACTACTTCCCCCCACTGTTTACAACCAGTTGGATTAATCAGATAGCCATCACATTATTAATAATAAGCTTTTGTTGTTTTCTTACACCATGTTGATATTAATAAAACATCCATGTCTCAGCTCTTCCACACGGGGTCGCTGCTCTGAAATAACGCCAGTATAATTCACAGTGCTGCTGCTACACGTTGTTTCTTTTTATAAGGTCAAAGTTTACTCCATGCGGAAGTCGCAGGCAGTTTGGGCTTTTCTTTTTCTTTCCATGCAGTATCGATGGCTCTCCATAAATCAATACGATACATTTGTTGATTGTTTTTTGTTTCCACCCTCCGAGCGGCTAACTGATGTTAGGTAGGTAAACAATCTCTATGGTAACTCACTAACGACGCTTTGTTTAACGACAGAGTTAACTACCCTGCAGCTAACTAACTAATAAATAACACTAATGTTGTTATTTACTAAAATAGTCTCCGCGTATTGTCCAACTCACTAACTACACGGTCTAACGCTAGCCGTAGCTACATGTTAGCTACCAGTAGCTAGCAGCGTTAAATGCTCGTTAGCAGGTTTGTTTCATGTGGTTAATATAAAAAAAAACAAAAAACAACTTACATCTTCACCTTTTAATGAAACGAGTCGTTAGCTAATAGAGACAGCATCCATACATCGCGTTGTTGGCTCTAACGATACGGTAAATGTAACGTTGTTCCGGTAATGCTAGTTAGGTGTTAGCTGTCGTTACGAGCTACGTTAGCTTGAAGTGCTCCGTAACTCAGCACATCTGGCGACGACAGGATGTTAACATCTGTATGAATTAAAACAACAGGCGTTAGTTAAGTGTGAAGTTTACGTCTGTATATATGAAAGGTTGCAATGATGGAGTTTTAATTGTTGTTTTTTTTATCTGTTTGCCAATCAACAATGCAACAACTTTACATTTTTAGGCTGTTGAAGTAAAGTTTTGGATTGTTTTTATTATGTTTTAAAGTGAAAGCACTACAATCAGCTTACAGATACTAACAGTGGTTAATGTCCCAACCTTCCTGCAGCTTCCCCTCCTGTCTGCCACAATGACCACCATTGTCCATGATACTACAGAGGCAGTGTGCCTTTCCGCCGACTACAACCTGTACCTCAAGCCCATTGCCAAAATGACCATCAGTGTGGCTCTTCCCCAGCTCAAGCTGCCAGGCAAGAGCATCTCCAACTGGGAGGTAATGGAGAGAGTAAAGGCCATGGTAGCTCCAGAGCAATTTTCAGCCCTGCGAATCTCCAAGAGCACCATGGATTTCATCCGCTTTGAAGGGGAGGTGGAAAACAAAACGGTGGTCAAGAGCCTGCTGGGCCGTCTGGATGGGAAGAGCATCAAGCTTAGTGGATTTACGGATGTGTTGAAGGTAAGGCTGATATTGTAGTGGACCATAAATATTAGAAACACCTCTCGGTATAATGCAGTACAATTAAACAGCGTCACAAACAGCCTCCAAAAGTTCCGTAAAAGTTGAATCAATACCTCTCTAAAACAGTTTAAAACCTTGTTTAAAAACGTGATTTATTGCATGGCTGTTGTATTAGACTGCATTTGATTTAGTTGCACCTCTTTCCTCAGGTTCGTGCTGTTGAGAATAAGGTAGACTTCCCTACACGTCACGACTGGGACTCCTTCTTCCGCGACGCCAAGGACATGAATGAGACTGTGCCTGGAGAGAGGCCTGACACCATCCACCTGGAGGGGCTTCCTTGCCGCTGGTTCAGCCAGAAGGACAGCCAGTTCCCAGACCGGCCCTCTGAAGAGGTCCTCATTACAGTCTTCCAGACATTTGGCAAGGTGGTACATATTTCTGTTTCAGCTTTTCTTTATTGAACTGGAAATATACCTGAACACAAGATTCATATATTTTATTTGTTAGTTTGGAATAAGGTATGGTCTCACTAGGCTCTAAGACACAACTTCTTAATATTTGGGCCTGTTTGTTTATTAAGATTAGACAAGGCTGGAAGTACAGTATATCTGTACAGATGTTTTAATTACAATGGACTAAGCTCTGATTCTTACTGTAAGTGACATAATGAGGATGGTGAAAAGTCACTGCTATGTAGAGCAATGTAGGTCAATTGTTGATAATATATTTAATTTCACTCAATCTGAGAACACTTACGCACACACCCAGCCTAAAAATAAAGAGAAAACACCAAAAGTCCCTTATGTTATATTTTCACATAAAGAAATTGAGCCCAAAATAACATTATATTTGTGCCCCCACTTTTTCACTGTAGGTACGAAATGTTGACATCCCCATGCTGGACCCATACCGAGAGGAGATGCTGGACAAGAACTTCAACACATTCAGTTTTGGGGGTCATCTTAACTTTGAGGCTTATGTCCAGTACCAGGAGTACTGCGGCTTCACCAAGGCAATGGACACTCTGCGCAGCATGAAGCTGATGTTTAAAGGAGACGATGGAAAGGCAGTGGCCTGCAACATCAAGGTACTGCAGACTCCCATGGTTGTGAAGTCCATGTTAATGGTTATGGCAAGAACTTAGTAAAGGGTGATTATTTATTCGGCTGAAATTCTGAAATATTTCCTTATGTAAGGCAAATAGTGAACCCCGCTTTTTGTTTCTTTCTTCTTTGCCATACACATACACACAATTCACTGTGCCGTGCAGGAGAAAAAAGAGTGGAGTCATATTTGTAGCTAGGTTACTGAAAAACTTTCATTTAAATTCAAATCCTACGTTGTTTGCCACTACAGAGGGCTCCTGCAAAAAAAAGTTAAACGTGGCTCAACCTTTGTTGCAACGCTATACTGTCCTTGCAAGTTTGTGTTTTGGCCAATCAAACACTTGCAAATGCAAGTACCTGGGAGATTACTCAACATAAACGATGTATTTTTCATTTTTAAATGTCCAGTTTGTAACATTTAGGAGAATCTATTCACAGAAATGGAGTATAATATTTATAGGTATGTTTTCAATCATGTGTAATCACCTAAAAATAATAAGAATACCAAGCTAATATCAGACCAATTTTCTCTTTTCCTTACCTTGGAATCAGCTGTTTATATCTACAGAGGGAGCGAGTCCTCTTCCACAGGGGTCGCCATCTTGAACTACCATGTTTCTACAGTAACCCAGAACGGACAAACCAATCACTGACTCTAGATAGGGCCTTTCATGAGTTTCAATCAAAAAGTTTCATCGCTAGATGCCACTGAATCCTACACACTGGTTCTTTAAATCACGATTGTGAAGACAGCTCTAAAAGGATTGTCCCTGACTTTCACAGTTGATAAGCTCACAAAGTCTTGGATTTATTTCTCAAGCTGGCTTTCTTGAATTATATTTATGTTTCTCCCCTGTACCTGCAGCCACACGCCTCCACCAATGCAGACCTTTGCATTTCTTGTACACATTATTATTTTTGGTCTGATTGACCACTGAGGGCACATCAGAGATCTGCATGTGTCTGTTTGGTGTGTGAGGCCACCAGTGAATTTCAACTGCAGATAGGCAGATTTTAGCAATTAGATTCTGTTGTTCAGAGTCACATAGCAGCTTTAAGACCTTTTAGTGGAATGAGAATTAAAGCTGTGTCATCATTATTTCCAAGGTAATGAGGGTAGGGGAGAGCCAGGTCTCTTAATCCACAGAATAAAGCTTTACTGTGAAATCTAAATTAAAGTAGCAGAAGCAAAGGAAGGTGTATATAAAAGAAGAAAGAAATGAGGAACAAAATAAGATATTGTAAGCTTGTTCTGTTGTTAAATTATACAAAGAGAAGGCATTTTATAATCCCCACCAGCTCTTGCCTGAATACGAAGGGTTTTATTTTGTATTTTGAAAATGATGACCCTTATACACAGGTTGTGTTAGTCTTTCTCATTGCCCATCATTTTGACAGGTAGGGTCATAATAATACAACTTAATCTAAGACCCATAATTTTCATTTTTTATTGAGACAAATACTTTAATAGCATTTTATAATAATGCAAGCAATCACAATAACATTTAATAAACCGAATTTACAGATTGTGCATTTATAGGGGCACACCGTACGAAGCAGATGACTAATTTTTACCTCCTTCCTGCCACATGCTTCCCCTGTAACATTAGCTGTCGCTGCTGTTCACTCTTGCTTTACTTGGACCATGTTGGTAAAATACCCACTGTATCTGCGTCAGAGAGCGTCTATCTTAATGTCACTAGACTCTACAGAAGGTTCCCTGGTACCCCGGTAGCTACGGTACTGCAGAAAAGTACTGTCACGCTTTCAAAACTTTGGTACCGAAGAATTTGTTCTTGTGACATCCCTAATGTATACCATGAAAGCACTTTTTATAAGCCGTTTATCTGTGTTTTCCGCAGGTGGCCTTTGACACCAGCAAGCACCTGAGTGAGTCAGCCCTGAAGAGGAGAACCCTGGAGAGGCTGAAGTTACAGGAGCTGGAGAGGCAGAGAGAGGAGCAGAAACGACGGGAGAAGGAAGAGGAGGAGCGTCGAAAGGAGGAGGAGAGGTATGATGGATTTCAAAAGAGAAATGGAAAACGGGTTTATAATGTACAAGGAGCTGGACTCCAGACTATTCATATAACTCTGAATCAGGGCAGCACAGTAAAGAAAGGAGCTGAAAATAATATCGTTGAAAATAGGTAAAAATATGAATGTTTCACCTGTCCATGGCTCATACATTTATGCTTTTTTGAAAAATTGAGTTTTACTATAAGTTGAATACAGAATGATAATTAACCTCTGAGAAGGACACTCTATGGTTTTCTGCATTCTTCTGAACCAAGCATATCCAACTGTAAAGCTAAAAATACAACAACCAAAAAGTTACCTTTCTCTCATCTAAACAACTAAATATGAGGAACAATTCATTTTCAGTGTAATATTGAGTGGGTGTCATCAGAAGTAATAATTTATATTTAGTTAATTATTATTATTATTACTGTACTACTGTATTAGCGCTGTACTAAAAAAAAACAGTCAATTGACCCAGGAATAACAGATATTCACAGAGGACAATCTACCTTGCATTCAGGAAACAGAAGGAGCAGGAAGAGGAGGAGAAGGAGAGAAGGAAGGAAGAGAGGCTACGAAAGCGAGAGCAGAAGTTGCGGGAGAGAGAGGAGAGGAGAAACCTGAAGAGGGTGAGGCGGCAGCAGGAAGAGGAGCAAAAGAAGCTGCAGATGAAGATTGCCATGGAGGAAAGGAGGCTGCTGCTGGCTCAGCGCAACCTGGAATCGATACGCCTCATTGCTGAGCTGCTGGCCAGAGCCAAGGTACGCCATGTACACGAAGATACACAGTACACCTCGTAATGGGTATACACACATACATTTACTATGTATTCACTTTTGATTTTAATACCATTACTGTGGTAAATATCTAAAATTAGATCATTGAAAGGCAAACAGGGTGTTGTTTCATATTGGCCGAGATAGTCTAAAGTCAGTTTGTATTTTGCCATCATTATTTCCTCCTTCTCTCCAGGCCCTGAAGCAGCAGCAGCAGGAGAAAGAGAGGGCAGAACGGGAGGAACTGGAAAGGCAGGAGCAGTCTCGGCAGAAGGAGGAACTAGCTCGTCTTCAGCAGCTGGAGGCCTGCCGACGCAAGCAGGAGGAGGAGCTTCGGAGGGTGGAGGTGGAGAAGGAACGTGCATTGGAGCTCCAGCGCCGAGAGAAGGAGTTAAGGGAGAAACTCCTTTGCAACCTGTTGAAGAAGAGCAGCGGTAAAGCCACAAGACCTTCAGGCACGCAGGATCAGGCTGACCCTGAAACCAGTGAGGAGTCCTCTGATCCTGGTGGCACTGATGTGATGTTGAGGGTCCTGGGCCGGGTGAACGGAGTGAAGGCGGTTGAGAGCAAAGAGAAGCAGGTGTCCAAATCTAGTGTGCACTCCCAAGTTTTGGGGAAGAACAGAGCAGGAGAGGAGAGGAGGGGAGGGGAGGACAGGAAGAAAGACCGGGAGGGAAGGAAGGACGAGGTGGTGAGGAGCAGGCACAGCAGGGAAGGAGCCAAGGATGGGGAGCACTCCCACAGAGAGAGGAGCTCCTATAGCCAGGGGAGGAGGAGGCGCTCCAACAGCTACAGCAAGAGGAGAAGGAGCTCTAGCCACCGTAGGAGGAGCTCCAGTCGTCATAAGAGGAGCAGCAGTCACCACGGCAGCAGGAGGCGCAGCCACAGCCATAACAGTAGGAGCACAAGCTCCAGTCGGGACAGGAGCCGGAGCAGCAGTGGGAGGAGTTACAGCAGAGGGAGGAGCCGCAGGCATAGTCACCGTGGACACAGCAGAGGCAGCTCCAGGAGCAGCAACAAAAGTAGAGACAGGAGGAGTAACAGCCATTGCAATCGAAGATACAGGAAGCACAGCAACAGCAGAGACAGGAGCCACTCCAGGCGACATTAATCTCATCAATTTGATCAGTTTATTTATTGATTGATTGATTTATCTTCCCATCTGGGCTCACACCTTAAGTTCAGTGATTTTCAAAAGAAGAAAAATATAAACATAGACCTAATATAAAGTAAAACCAGCTCCACATAATCAACTGAAATCACACATCTAAGTGTATCCTGTACGTGTAGGTGGCGAGATGTTGCAGTTGATTCTAGGGAGTTGTTTTTTTTTATCCCCCCAGATTTTAAACTGTTGGATTCAAGCTACTTACAACTGTTCATTTGCTGAATTATACAACATACATTTTAATAATTTCATGGCATACAACACTAAATGTATTATTTGTGAAAGCCATGGCACCAACATTTAGACTTAAGTGCACAAACTCTTTTCTGAAAATTCAAATAACAGGAATAAGCATAATGGGGAAATACAATTAATGATAAAATGAGCGATCTATTACATAGTCATTGATAAACATTATTGGAAGTTGAAAACATTGACTGGCTGATCAATTAAAAGCTAATATCGCAGGTCTACTGTATTTGTATATTAACACAGCAGTCTAACCCTACTGTGACCCCAAAAGCCTGTTGATGACCTTCATTCTCGTCTTTGTGCATGAATAACAGTGAACTATAGAAAGTGGCAAGAACATAATTGTGTTTGTTATTTTTTGATGTTGCACCAGCCTGTTCATGCACACATGTAGCCTGACTACAGTGAAATACTTTTAAGTGGACGACAGTAACTGGACTAAAATGAATGGCTGCTGTTCCATTGCAAATGTGAAATTTCCACAGACTGTAAGAAACATACCTCTGTGTTTAGGACGGCCGACTGATTTCTTAGTCATGTGTTAGGTGCCTAAAATATTTCTTGGAATACTTCTTCAGTATTGGCTGTTTTGTTCATAAGCAGCTCAGAAAAACACACAACTGAACAACAGAGTTGTCGTTGAGCTCATCCAAGCAGCAGAATCAGAATCGCATAGTTTCATCTGACGGACTGATTCATTTTAATTTTCTTTGAACTTCTTAGTGTTTTGAAGAAGTGGTTTGTTGAATGTGTGAGTTTTGTGAAGACTTGATGTTTAAAGTCAAAATGATGATGGCATTATGACATATTTGAACTGACTCAGCAAAGAAGTGTGTTCCCATGCAAGTGATAGATTTGAGACCTGTCCAATTACTTATAAAGTTTAAATTAATGCAAGTTTAGTCATTGTTTAGGAAACCAACATCTGGGATTCAAGTCAAACCAGCGCAGTACCAATTATAAATTGGATGTTAGGATCTAACTCCTGCTTTTATCTTCAATATGTAGTGCCGTATACATTTCTTTAGCCTTATTACTGTACAGGCTGTTCTCTTAGCTGTATTTTAGCTTTGAGGGGGTCAAATAGTTATGTTGACACTGCTACATCAACATTTTTACTTGTCATGGCAAAGCCCTTTTGCTCTGTGTACTGTATGCTCATGATCTATTAGAGCATGTGTTACATGGTTAAAATAAAAAACGTATTGTAAGCATTGTGTTCTTTCATTGATGATCTCACTTACAATCTTGTCACTACGACAGATTGTAGTGTTAAAATAAATGTTTCTACTTGAACACTGTCAAAAATCATTCCTCTTTTAACATTATTTTGTAATATGATAACTTATATAGTTACAAAGAGACAACATTGTTATAAGTTATGTTATAGTGTGAAATGTTTCAAGTCATAACGAGTATATTCTTTTAACAAGAAAAGTTATTGTAACGTGATGAGTTTGTATATGGTAATAACGTGGTAATAACATGAAACAAATTGTCTTTAACATTTTGTCTTTTAATTGTCAACATAACTATATCTTATATTTTTCTTGTTATGTTGTTACATCATACTGATCCTTTTTCAAAGTAAAAGTGCTTATTGTCAGTTTAAAAAAAAAAAAAAAGCCTTGGAGATGAGATGGAGCCATGATCTGGGCAAGTGATGTCCACTTTTATCTCTATATAATTCCTCAAAACCTTGTGTGAAGGATCAAGGTGACAATATGCCCAACTCCAGCTGCCATAGCTGTACCCTAGCCGTACACCGCTGGTTTAATGAACTGTGCAGATGAATAATTAATCGTCAAACTGATTAGTGTCTGTGTAACCTCATCAAGGCGTGTGACGTGACAGTCTGTGTCATTAGGACCGATGCAACCATTAGTTTCTCAGCGTAAGAGCAATCAGGCCATATGGAGAAGAGAAGGCGAGCACATCTTTCATAAAACACAAAGCTTCCCCTTCAAGGTTTGGTATTCCAGAAAGTGTCCGTCACATTTTGGGGTCATGAAAACTGTGGGAAACACGTCTGGTATGAGAATGCACTGAGTGAAAGTCTCCATCCGAGTGTGTTAGAGTGTGAGTGATAATGAACAAGGCAGCAGTGTATTGCCACAGAGTTGTTTCTTTGTCCAATGCAGACTGAGCCCCTGCTCTAATCTGGGTTATCTGGCTGTAATCAGCTTAGCCCACTGCTACCCTCACTGCTGCTGATGCTGGGTGGGCACATTCTGTAACTTTGGTCTGGTTTTGTCTTCACTGCCATTCATACACACACCTGTTGAAGTGTCTCTGGAGCAAACAAACCAGCAGGCGAGTCGACCTTGCGTGTAGAAGAGCTTGTAGGACATTCAGGAAGTCCTGTCCAAACTGCGGCCATGGCTGAACGTCAAGAGATGGGTTTATCTGAAGGGACACGTGCTGTAGACATGTACCCCAGAAAGATACTGGAGTATATGGAAGGATTCCTCATCTCCAAGGTAATATTAACATGCAGTGTTCACCTTCATGGGTCACATACAGGGATGCACCTTTGCTTAATTCAAAGTTAAAGTTCCTGCTCTTCAGTTTGAGTAAGGGTAGCATTCCTGATAGTTGATATTGTAATAGCATTAAACATTTTAAAGCTACAAGGATGTAATTTCTTAAGAGCTGAAACAACTAAATTAATAGTACTTTAGTTATTAGTCAGACAATGATCGGACATCCTTTTGAAAAAACAATCTAGAAAATTATTGCAAGATTAATCAGTACTGAAAATAATCATTAATTGCAGCATTACAGAAAAATACATAAATAAAAAAGGCACCATAGAGAGCATTTTATCATGTTTTATCTATCATAGGGGCACCCATGAGGACATTTTTCCAAACATAGGGGCACCAGGGGGTTCTCTAACTTTTGCTAGAGCTTGACTTGGTGATTCTGAATTTGAACTTTTCTGATAAACTGAAGGATTAAGTGTTCCTATATGGGTTGAAAAAAATATCCCCCTCTCCTAGCACAACAAACCATTTAAACCCTCTAAGATTGGCTGTATAATGCATTGATACAAAGCTGAAGACAGTGCTCATGAATAGTTAACTTATTAGTTTGGTTCTCAGAGGACAGTGTTGCTACAAACAGATGATGATCTTATAGAATATGATGCATTGCTGTAGATTAAACTATCCAACAAATTAGCCCAGCCTTAAACAAAGCAGTATTATCAAAATATAATATTTATCAAAAACATCACATATAGTAACAGAATGAGTTCTTTTGACACTTTAATACTTACATACTTTTACTTAAGTAAAGGATATGAATCTGTCTTCCACCACTGAAGGAGACTCACAAGGAGATTAGACTTAATACATAAGAAGGTGTGAAGAGGAAATGAAAACAATCAAAAAATGTAAGGTATGCAGGGTGTGCAGAATATTGAAAATGTTACTCAAGTCCACAAATATTTCAGTTTTATTCTATAGATGCAGCAAATGTGACAGTCACAATTGTCTTTGTCTTTTTAAGTCTTTTTAATCATTTACTGTGCATGATAGTCACCCACTCAGCAGAGTGCACTGCTGACACATCATTATAGTATGAAGTATAGTAGGGTAGCATCATTATAGTGCTATGCCTGATTAGCTTAAACATATAGTGCTATATGTAACTATTAATAAGATTTAATTAATCAGATAATTTAATCAGCAAACTCAAGGACATAAACTGACCATTGAGCACTATATTCTATTGCTGGTAAATTTTGCTCTACTCTGTTTCCTTTTTCTCTTTGTGTGTGTGTCTTTGACTCAGGTGGTTTTCTCCTCCTGCGAGCTGGGAGTGTTTGATGTGTTGCTGGGTGCAGAGCGCCCCCTGTCTGCAGAGGAGATCAGTCAGGCAGTTGGAGCCAGTCTGGATGGCACACAGAGACTGCTGGCTGCCTGCACCGGCCTGCAACTCCTCAATACACATCAGGACAATGGACAAGGTCAGCACACACACACACACACACACACACACACACACACACACACACACACACACACACACACACACACACACACACACACACACACACACACACACACACACACACACACACACACACACACACAAACACACAGTCTAACAACTTGTCCCTCTAAATAAGTCGAGTAGTAACTTTGACAGGCTGACTTTGCCCATGTTGTTGTGATTTATTGCTATGTTTTTCATGTTGCAGCTTTTATTTCCTTTTTGTCCATTTGTCATATTGTCAGACATTCGTTACATTGTCCATTGCTGCACCATCTACATGCACACCTCACCTTGTCTCTGTCCTGTCTATCTCCCACATAGACATACAAGGTCAAACTCTGTCTTCACACCTGCAGTGACTCATTTACAGTCCTCTCCTCCTCTGACTCTCCTCCTCCAACCTCTCCCACCACCTGTTTTAGTGTTGTACAGTAACACAGAGCAGGCCAGTGTCTACCTGACCCGCTCCAGTCCTGTATCCCTCTACCAATCCATCCAGTACAGCTCCAGAACCATCTACCTCTGCTGGCACTACCTGACTGATGCTGTCAGGTCAGTACACTGAGCGTGGTCACATCGCTGCCTGGACACAATTTCACAGTAGAATGAGCTCATGTTGAGGGTCACTGTCCATGGAAAACTGTAACAAATAACATTTCTTTGGATGTTCAGTGTGTTTGATACCATCACTATTACTGTTTCCCAGCATCCTTGAAACTAGAGATGCAGCTAATTATTTATTTTTCAAAATCTATTAATCTGTTGTTTGATTTTTTAAATTACACCTTTAATTGTGTATATAAAATGTCAGTAAACTGTGTGAATAGTTCCTAGCACAGTGCAATGCTATGTGCAGCCAGAAGTCCAAAGCTGGAAGATGTTCAATGTTTAGGTCAATTACACTGCAATAAAACATTGTAAAACAGCAAATCCTTAAATTTAAGAATCTGAAACCATTTTTTAAAATCTTAATGGATATTCATCAAGAATGATGTATCTGATTTTTGACAAATCGGTTTTAGTACCTTGTCAAAATCTCTGGTGTCTATTCAAGATAGATTAACCAGTTAAAAGTAAATTGCAAAAAGGAGGTTGTTTACCTTTCCCTTCTACATTCATGTTACCTTTTGTAAAACTGTAACTGACAACATTGTTGTGATTTGAAAGAATTTGGTAAGTTTTCTTTGCTCCCTTTTGTCGGAGGGCAACAAAAGGTGTTGTGATATCCTTGTACTAAACATTTAATATGACTTGTAAGAATCTAAAAATAATTTGCATAAGACCATCTGTTATTGACCAGAATACAATTTAAATATGTAACCAGGGGACACAAAATGCTGCAGAGGGAGGCAAACCAAAAGAGCAAGCAACAATAAACAAATGAATCGGTACCATCATTTCTCTGAAAACTAGGTCAAGGTTATCAAATGAAATGTAAATGGCACAAGTAGGATGCTATTCAAATAAATGAGCAAACTAAGAGTAGAATCATACACAGGTGGGCTGTGAGCAGCTGTGAGAAGTGCAGGTTTGATTTGTAGCCTAAGGATGTGGATTCCCGTCCTCCTTTTCTGTTTGAACAGCATCTCAAGATGGATTTTAGTCTCATTGTAATGTCTGAGGGAGGACAGCCAGCAGCTCACAGGCAGCGTGACTGGATTCACTGTGGCTGACAAGTGAAGTCCATCTGTGAGAAACACTGAAAAAAGATGTTAGTTAAAGGATAGAGGCATCTTGATCAAAACTATTCATTCTTTTGTGTGGGAGTGTGCAGTATATATATGTGAATTTACCTAAAAGTAAGACAATCAATAGAGCCCACATTTTGTATAGTCATATAACAAGTGATGAATCATCAAATAAGTCACATGTTCATGTCTTGTTCTAGAGAGGGGAGAAACCAGTATGAAAAGGCTTTTGGAGTCAGTTCGAAAGACCTGTTTCAAGCTCTCTACAGGTAAGAAGCCTTCATTATTTAACAGACACACACACACACACACACACACACACACACACACACGCATACACACGCACGCACGCACACACACACACACACACACACACACACACACACACACACACACACACACACACACACACACACTCAGACAGATCAAACACACATTTTTGCTCATTTACATTCCATCCCTGTCTCTCCATCTTAAACCTGTCTGTCACTCTCTTCTCTCTTTCCCCTAAAAAAACAGACTTGTGGGATTTAGAGAGAGAGAGAGAGAGAGAGAGAGAGAGAGAGAGAAGATGTGGGCAGTGATGTGAGGAAGCTTGGAGCAGAGAGAGAGAGAGAGAGAGAGAGAGAGAGAATATATCTGCCATTGTCCTTGAGGTCTTGTGTGTTTATGTTATCTAGTGCCCACAGTTTTAATGCTTCACTGATCTGCTGGTCAGCAGTTTTCAGGGGTCACACACTAAAAGTTTCACACTTTGTTCGCTAATAGATTTTCATCTGCCTGCCTGAGACCCTGTACTGTAAAACACTGCCAGTCCCAAAAGGAACCGAGACCATTAAAACTGAAAAAAAAAAAAAAAAAAAAAAGACATCCTCCCTTCTTGTCCTCCTCATGGCATGATTTAGACAACTATTGTACTTTGATGGAAGGGGACCTGATGCATAGGCATGGACGATGAAACACATGTTAAAATTTCCATTATTATTTTACATCTGAGTAATAAAATGAAATGTACCACCGCATGTGCAGATGTATGAATTAGCTAGTTCAACCTCAATTACCTCAAACAGGGAAAATGTACATATTTCTGTGCTTATTTATTTGTACACATCAATGCAGTTTATCTTTTTGTTTAGGTGGTTGGGACTTGTGCATGAGCTGCAGTATCTCTGTTTTTACCATTTTTGTTTTTCATATCCTTTTGAAAAGCAGCTGATGATCTCACAGAAACGGCCTCATTGAAAAAACAGAAAGAGAATATTCATAATATGATCCAGGCTCACATAACTTAATACACCCTTGTGCAGATGAATTTGCTATTCAGTTTTAATTGATTGAAAATGAAAATACCCGACAAGAAAAATCTCAACACCTGTGCACAATTGATTCAGTGTGGAGTAGCAGTTGTTTGTCCCCGCTGATTTCCCCTGTGAATACTGTGGGTAAATTAGCAAAAGCAAACAACCACTGAAGTCATTCACCGCATTCTTGGAGCGCTGTAGAAGGAGCAGGATGATTCAAAGCCGGCTGGATGACTCAGACTCCTGTTTACTCATCGCCATTTAACCAGCCATGTACTGCACCTGAATAATTTACAGCCAAGTCCTGTCCGCAGCTTGAATTCTCATACTCGAGAAAGCAGAAACGATTTGGAGAGAAGAATGGCAAGGGAGCTTTTGAGATTTCAGAAATATACAAGAGTTGTGAGATTTTTGAATCCCACAGATGAGTACTTTTTATCCAAACTGGGTATATTTGTGTGGTGATTCAAGGCAAGCTCATGTTTCTGTATCTCAAACATGGTGAGTAGTTTGAGACTGAATTGGGTTTACTTGATGTGGAATATGAAAAATGCAGTCCATTGATTGACAAATAATTATATGAAATGTAATGTTTATACAGTATATTGTAAGAGGATAAGTATATATAATTGTCAGCATGGACACATGGACCCATCTATGATTGGATTGTTTAGGTTTACATGTTTGAACATATGAAGAACATACTGAATCTATAGTTTACAGACCTGCATAAGCTTTTATTCTGGTCATAAAACCTGAACCTAATGCTGGAAAATGCACACTTGTACTAATCTTCATAATATCTCATACTGACAATAAGTAGACATTTTTTTACTGACAACAAACGATACAAGATGTGCATGTCGAATTAGATCAAACAGCAAGAAACTAAATAGTAAGCCAAAATGTCCAACTTTGGCACCCTCCTGTGGTAGTATCAGAGAAGAAAGAGTGGAAAAAACAGATCAGAGCCAAGGACACTGAAATTAATGGGCAGAAAGGAGACATAAACTGCACAGGTTTTCAATGGGATTGTCAACTCTTTCAAAAGAGTGATATTTATTTGTCCTCCATGATGGTGTGTCACCTCAATTGTTAGTAGCTTCTCATTTGCATATAGTTCATTTATACCTATCTACATACCTGCTCAAAAATCAAGAGGGAATTTGTGTTGAATTAGGACACAGCTCACAAACATACAAACATACAATGTTACACTGATAATTTACTCAGTTTTGGTAGATGACACTAGTCAAATTGGACCATACTTTTCCAGTCTTTCCTTCTGTTATTGCTGTTAAGATGTCGAGATTAAAGCACCAAGACAGCAGAAAAGCACAAAACAGTGATCAGGCAGCCATGAACCATAACTGACAGTCAGTGCAGATATGACAGAGACCTGCGGGGATGACGAGGGGTACAAGACATGTCTGTGCAGAGAGCAGACAGATCATAAACCACGATGATGTTATAATGATGTATATACAAGGACAAGATATAACCAGGCTTAGCATCTTTTCTTCAATATGATTAGAGACAGGATGAGATAGTGTGCATGTAAATGTATTCAGTCGGGGACAAAAAGAGCTGCAGATGTTATTGTTGGGGGGCATTCAATAACTTATGTCTAAAATGTTCCCAAATTAAAGCTGACAGTGCTGCTGTCTTTGGCCTCACAGTCATTTCGTCTTTTCACATCCGATGTAATCAGAGTCTGAAGCCGCAACAATGAGTTACTTTCAAAGTTCTTCTGGAGGTCACTGTGTCATCTGAAGTTGGCTCATGTATCCAATGGCTGATCACAAGTTTGGATGAATGAAATCCTAGTGTTACAGAACAGAGGATACTCAGTGTGTGTGTGTGTGTGTGTGTGTGTGTGTGTGTGTGTGTAGCCCCATGGCAGGACAGAGTGCTGGGTGATGAGGTGGAGATTCCTCAGAGCAGCAGCAGTCACCACAGGCTCTTCTATTCCTGTCTGTCTGTCTGTCTGTCTCTCTCTCTCACACACACACACACACTGCGTTGCCACGGGGAGAAACTTTGTAGATGAGGAGCGGCAGTGTGTGTTTGTGTGTGTGTGCGTGTGCGTGTGTGTTTGTCTGTTTATGGTGGAAATAAAGCAAGTAGCCCCTTAGGTGACAGCTCACAGAATAAGGTTTTGCCTCAATACAGCGAGAGCGAGACCCACGTGAAAGAGAGGCAGTACTGACTGATTCACAGACTGTTTTGTGTGTGTGTGTGTGTGTGTGTGTGTGTGTGTGTGTGTGTGTGTAGGTCTGATGAGGAGATGGTGAAGTTCATGCAGTTAATGAACTCCATTTGGAACATCTGTGGTAAAGACGTGGTCACAGCCTTCGATCTTTCGCCTTTCAAGGTCATCTGCGACCTTGGAGGTAAGTTTGTGTGTGTGTGTGTGTGTGTGTTTATGGAGTCACCATATATCTAATTTACATAAGGTCGTGGGTTCACAGTCATTAACATTTAAAAATTGTTGGTGTCATGTGTTAGCTGTGAGACAGCTGGCTCAGTCGCACACACATATTTATACAATACAGTTTGTGTGCACAAAACGGCATAACACACACAGTCAAGTGTGACCTTTATTATACCCCCCTCAGCCTCGCTGAGTTAATGACTCTTAGTAAGTCAGTCAGCCTTCCCGACACACACAACTCAAAGTCACCTCCACCTGGAGTTTCCCTTATCCTGTCAGAGTCACTGTTTTACTGTTGCCAAGTACTACCATTATTATTGTTTTTTTCCCCTTCAGTTCCTTCAGAGCTGAACAAATACAACAATACAACAACAAATAGTCTTCAAACACATGGGCTTGATATATATATATATATATTTTATAAATATTAAACATTTGCCACCACTCACTCAGCTATAGTGTTGTCGGTCACCTTTCAGTGGCGTTTTGTTGATGCCTTAGTTTTTTAAATGCTATTTCAGGGAGGTATCCTGTCGAACAAGAACATAATTAGCAGAAAAAAACACTTGTTAACTAGACAGTAATTTAATGACTTTCGTAATTGTCCAGGAATTATTGTACCCACTGGCTGATCATGTTTTTACTCATCTTTTGTTTGATAGCTGAAACAGAAAGTTTCAACTTAAAATATTGGATCTTTGTGGTCTCTCCATTGAAAACGAAATAGGCGTTCACTGAGTCAGAGGCAATAACCAACTTAACCAGTGTTGCAACTAATTTTTTTTTCCTTTCTCTTCGGTAAACTACAATTAAAAATTTTTGGTAGTCTTTTTTTGTTAGCATACAAAAATATGCATATGCCAATAAGTAAGATGGGAAAACATTTAATTCCAATTTACTGTAGATTAATGTAGCTTCCATCCGTTGTTCAACAGAAGAAGCTCTTAATGGTAAATGAATGAATGTGAAGCAGGATGTTGCAGCCTAGTCTCTCTTCTTTGGATACAAAAGGGAAAAAGGTATTGACTAATCGCCGCTATGTAATCTTCTTTGTCAAATCAGATTTATTTATAAAGTGGTTTTGTACAGCAGGTTTCTTGTAAAATGGTCTACACAGAGAGCAAAGGGTACAAGGATGAAAAAAGTGAGGAAAAAATAACAGAAACAACATGAACTCCACAATGTGAGGCCAGGGCTTCCAAAGAAATACAGAGAAATGAGCCGAGAACAGAGCAGGATACAAAAGAAAGGATGTGAGGGAAAAAAAGGATAAAAGGAAAAATTAATCTTCTGTTGTCACAAGAGTTTTAATCTCCTGCTGAAAATGCTAATGATATGAATAATAATCTTTTGTCGTGTCAATGTTCTTTTTCATTTTGTTTCATTTCTGTCTTTTTAACCAAACTGAGAGCTGAACATTGTCTCCACTCATGTACTCCTCAATTGCTCAAAAATAAAAGGCCAGATGATGAACAATAATGTAGCAGCAATGGGAAATCTTAAAATAATGTTGTGTCTAAGAATAAATGTTTTAGTCTGTGGCTGTTTCCACAAGACAATACCCAGAGATAAATGATCCAATGAATTATCTTAGTATTTATGTTTTGTGTTAAATCAGGTTAAAGGCTGAGATAGAGGCACATAAGAGACAATCTAATACAGACTGAATGTATTTTAGTCTCACACTGAAATGGGTAAACATGTCTGGACATTTAAGACAAAGAAAGCCAAGGAAAAAACTTCTCATTCTACACAAGTGTGTCTCCATTTTTCTTAGTTTTAATGATTTAAAAACAACCTTTGGGCTCAGTCAGGTGAAGAAACGGCTCGTTCCAACCATGTGTGGTCGCCTCCTGTGTGTGACACCTCAGCCCACCACACAGGGGAGCTGTGAAGCCACTGAAAGCACTCATACACACACAGGCACACATCCAGGACAGCCTTCCTGTCTTTCCTCTCCTCTGTGACTTCCTCAGCATGGGGTTGTGTGTTCATGTTTATGCATTAAGGTGCTTCACCAAACAGAGTGTGCATGAGGAGTGTGAAGGGGGTGAATGCAGTTTCCCTTTAAGACTTTGTCTCCCACACAGCATCTGTTGTGTCTGCACACACCTGCTGCTCAGGTGCTCTGTCTACCTGTCTGCCTGTCTGTCCAACTTTCTGCCAACTATCTGACTTTCATCCAAATCAGTTATCAGCCAGTCTGAGACCACATTCAAAGTCTTCATCATTTACATGACGAAGGTGGTTTGTTCCATGCTGTCTGTCGATGTGAAGCCTGTCACCTAGATTTATTTTAATGTGACATTTAACGCACATTTCAATTGTATGTTTTGTTTAAAAATAAACAAAGGTTACACTGCTATTCTAAGGAAATGATATTCATGGTTCTGAAGCACAATGTTTTTTTTTTTATGTAAATATCCATCTGCTTCATGCTGTTACATGTAGCAAACTCAGTTATGGAAAAAAAAAGTATTCATATCCGTTGAATTAGAAAAATGTATTATGCTACAATGAAAGAATGCATTTAAACTTTTATCATAATAAGAGTAAACAAACAGTACTGAAAGTTGAAGAACTGAAAGTATAGAACATAACTAGCTATAAAGTATAGAAAGTAGGCCTATAGATAGATAGAATATTCTATTTTCTAAAATATTTAATGACTTAACATGGACAAGGTTCACAGGTATATTATTAGACTGTTTAATCTATAGCAATCTATCTACAGCAATGGTTATCATTTGTTTTGCTGGTAAAAGCATCAGAAAACTAGGCTGAGGTTTTGTTCACTGTCACTCAGTTTGACCAACGGAACATGTTCTGATTCTGTGTAGTGGTACACCTGTTGAGTGTTAACTGGTTTAAATGTAAACCAGTTACTGTGCCTGTAAAGGGGCACTCCAGCAATTGCTCCTCAATAAACATGGGGGACTTGCAAGGGACATAAAAAAAGAACAGAATAGTAAAAATAGCATAATGCAGCATACGGCTGAGATATCCTGACTTTTAGTCCGCATGGCTTAAGCTCCAAAGATTCTGGATCCTATAGTTCAGAATCAGCTTTATTGGCCAAGTATGTGTACAAATTTAACACAGAACAATTTTTTCAGGAAGATAGAAATAGACATACAGCTAAAGACAGGTAAAACTAAACTATTATGTACATAGACAATGTCTACACTTCCTACAAAGCAAGTTGTATTTTTCATTAGACCCTCTCTGTGGAAAATGCCCACGTCTTTCAAACACCATTTCCCCCGTTTGTAGCACAGGCTTTCTGTGAAAATTCTCTAACGTATCAAGGCCAAGTCAAGATAACCCTGATTATATCTTCTGAGCACTGACAAAGCTCCTCCAGAACCACAGAAATACATTTTATAACTGTTTTCACAGGCTGAGGAATACTCCCCACTGTAAATAAACTGATCTTGATATAAAATCAGCGGAGTTCCCCTTCAGTGGTTCCTCCACACAGTTGAATAAGTTAGATGCAGACTTGCAGATGGAGAGCCTAAATAACCAGTATTCTAAGACAAAACATATATGCAAGTAAAACAAATGACTTTTATAAAACACTCAGTAATACATGCACATACTAGTAGTAGTGCCTTTGGATTAACAATTAAATGATCACACATTTGCATAAATAAATGTATATCAGATAACATACAGTTAAAGTAAATAGAAAGAAAACACAAAAAAAGATGAATAAAAACACAACAATCATATATATATAACAGATATAACACACTGTAACAATCACTAACGACCATCAAAGGATTTTATTAACAAACTGAGGCAGCCATGTTAGCTCAGGGTCTTGTACAGCGTGTTGTGTTTGCTTTTGCTCCTCCTTGCTGCTCTTTGATTTTTCTCCTCTGCTGACCCCTGTTTGATGTGAGAGCCAAAGAGCATCTGTGTGTGTGTGTGTGTGTGTGTGTGTGTGTGTGTGTGTGTGTGTGTGTGTGTGTGTGTGTGTGTGTGTGTGTGTGTGTGTGAAAAGGATAAAGCCTTGTAAGAATACAGGCTGATACAGTAGCAGCAGGTCATGTTAGGAGGAAGGCACTACTGAGCTTGACAATTTTTCCTGTACACACACACCCACACCCTCACACGTAGGTCTGGCTGGCTTTGTAGGTTTTTCAAAGTGAGATCCTTTGATCCTGTATTCCACCTCACTGCGTTTCCATCACTCTACCCCATTCATACATTCTTCATCTATTTCTCTTTTTCTATCTGTTTCATGCACTTTCTCTCTCACTCAGATTCAGATTGCTTTATGAAGCATGAACGCTGATAATAATGCTGCCAAAGCATCAAGTTGAAATATTCACATTTTCACATTAAATCCCTGTTTCCGTCCCTGTGTGTTTGTGTTTGTGTGTGTGTGTGTGTGTGTGTGTCTTTGTGTGTTTGTGTGTGTGTTTGTTGTGCGTGTGTGTGTATGTGTGTATGTGTGTTTTAGTTTGTAAGCTCATTTAATTTCCTTATTTTCCACTCAAATCATCAGGTCCGACCTGTACCCTATAATGAGTTACAGTTCTCTCTATGAGGACAGTAACCAAAACAAGACTAAGAGTCTGCTTCCATGCTAGCAGCTCTTTGAGGCTAAGCATACACACACTTTAATAACAATAATAATGCTAGCATCTTCTGGGGAATATCTGTACAAAACTTTGCTGCAATCAAGCCGATAGTTATGAGATATTTAAATAACAAACAAAAGACGCATTTTGGGACCACCAACGTCAGTAGGATTCATTCCCCTGGGACCATGAATATGCCATTTCATGGCAATCCCTCCAATATTTAGATTTCAGTCCTGTGTGCAGTGATGGCCTATTCAACAGACGAACATTGCCATCCCTGGAGCCATGCTGCTAGCATGCAGAGTAACAAGGATTTTTCAAATGCATTAACATGTAAAGGCTCATATACAAATGCATGTGAAATCACATAACAATCACATTGTGTGCGTGTGTTTGCTTTTTCTTAGATTAGATTTCTTAGTAGGATTCCTAGACAGCAAGCTCTGCTCTGTTTCTGTATAAAGCATCTGCCTCTCAGTCACTCTAAATTCAGCTCAATTCAGTCTGCTTTATTGGCATGAATGTTAGATGAACCATATTCCCAAAGCCGCCACATACAACTGAATACAAATCATGCAAATAAATAATGGGTATATACCTGAAAGCATCTGTTCCACCTGTGTGACTCTGTGTGTTGTGTGTGTGTATGTGTGCACAGCGTGCATGATGCACCTTGTTAATGAAGGTTGTGAGTATTCATTGCACCGTAACTAAATGTAATTCTCTCTCTCTCTTTTTCTGTCGCTCTCTCCAGGCTGCAGTGGAGCATTAGCCAAGCAGTGCACGTCAGCCTACCCAGAATGCACTGTTACGATCTTTGACCTCCCCAAGGTAGTGAGTACATCGAGGGAACACTTTGTCATGGAGGCCGACCAGAGGATAAGCTTTCACGAAGGTAACGTCATCACGACAGGGTGAAATCACTTGACATTTCTAATCACATACAGCCAGTTCAAGTGAAACACACATACACACAGTCATCATCATCCACAAAAATAGAAATGACTGTATTTTTCCCAGGATAAAGTTTTGAATAAGCTGGAACTATGTCAGTACAAATTAAGAATAAAATGTACTGAATCCTTGATGGATTAATTAGTATCCAACATGTGGCTGTGTTTCTTTTTCAAATAATATAATCTATAAACATTTAGACGTGGTATTAACATGCAATCTGTATCTGGACACTGTTATCTATGTATTCACATTTACACCTGGTATGAATAAGCCTTCTCCTGCTCTAAATTATTCTCGCATTTTGATCGTATCTCTATATGCAAATCACATCGACAGAGCTGGTGGGCTTGTCAACGAAAGTGATACGTCTCAGGTGAAGGGAAGTGACATGGCTGTATGGGCTCTGCTTATTTTTGCTTTGTCAGGAAAAGGGTGGGTCTATAAGTTTTCACCAGGCACAATATTTCCAACACAATAGCAAAAAGTTCAGCAACAGGTAAAGGATCTCTTGGATTTATATCTTAAGATCACTTCCCACACCATGATACAAAGTGTAGATCTCAGGACCTGTGACATTTGGATTCCAATTAAATTCCACCAGTGAAAACTTTGAGATATGGCTTTGGTATAGTTACAGTCTGTCTGCCACCATCAATCTTGTTTTCTTCTAAAAGCATAAAGAAATGGCGGAAAACATCCTTTGAAGATACTTTCTAAGTTAATGAACAATCGAGTGCAACTCTGATCTGAAAATAAAAGCAGAGTAAGACACTGTTCATGCTGTCACACGCATGTCTTCATGCTCCCACTGAGCTGCTGCTGTCGGTCTGAAAATATTGTGTAACAAAAACTGTTTTATATCTTACACTTTGTTGTGTCGGCTCTCCAACGCAGCAGCTAATGTGGGAGAAAAACTTCTTAGCAGCCTGTGATCTTGAAAATCCAGAGCCAAAATCAATTTCTGCTTCTCCCGCTGTTATCATAGATGAACACAATGGGTGCTGTAACATGGAAAACATGACATGACATACTTCTGTATGTATTATTTCATATTAACTTCAAATATTGTGGTCACACAGTTATAATGGACAGCAAGGACATGGAACTGAGTGGAGGACAAGCATTGTTAGACAGCAGCTGGAAACATGATGTTAGGTCATATACTTTTGACATAATTTGATTACAACAGACATCACCCCATTGTATTAATTATGTCTGAGTATGTAAACCACTTGCAAAATCATTATCTTATTACTGGAAGGCTTGTCAACATAATTAATAATTATGTGAAATAATTAAATCAAACATAGCAGTGTCTTTAGAATTCAGTACATTTGAATTTGGTGTTGTTGGTGTGTGTGTGTGTGTGTGTGTGTGTGTGTGTGTATGTGTGTGTGTGTGTTTAGGGGACTTCTTCAAAGACCCCCTGCCAGAAGCTGACCTCTACATCCTCGCCAGAATCATCCACGACTGGACTGACGAACGCAGCATAGAGCTCCTCAGTAAAGTCTACAAAGCCTGCAAACCAGGTCTGTAAATGTGTGTGTAAGTGTGTGTGTGTAAGTGTGTGTGTGTGTGTGTGTGTGTGTGTGTGTGTGTGTGTGTGTGTCTTTGAGTGTGACAGGGATGACTACTTTTTCCCCCTGCTTGAAATGAGATGGCAGATTGTATCCCACAATGCAGCTGATCCCAGAAAAATCTGTCCTTCTGACTTTGATCAAAGACAAACGCGCACACACAAAAGCAGCAGACACTATCAGGAGGCAGAAAATCCTCTCATGTGTTTGTGTGTGTGTGTGTGTGTGTGTGTGTGTGTGTGTGTGTACATAAAAACAAAGAGTAAATAGGGAAGCCTTTTTCAGAGAATACAGCAAAAAGGCTTTTACACTTGGATGAGATGGAAAAGTTGATGTATTGCTAAAAGCAAAATGCAACAATGTGCAATGGAAACAGACTTAGAGAATAAATTATGACATACATAAAGCACGTGACTTAAACATCCACCAAACTTCGGCTCCACTTCAGAGACAAACATCACTCCCAGCAATATTTGTTTTTAAGGTGTACTAAAGCAGATTGCATGATATGGTTAAGCTACGTTTGAGCCAAAAGATGTTAGAATTGCAGCTGCAAGAACAATATTTCCACTCATATCTTGTTTGATTTGAAAGAGAACTTAATCTAATTATAGTTGTAACTTTTCTTATCATCTAATAACTCCCCCTGCTCTTTCATTCGTTTCTATCTGCGGGATGGCTCCCGTTTCTCTATGACTCACTCTGTACTGAGTATTTTGTTGTGGTGCTTTTCCTATTTTGATGATGATTCAAAGTAAATCATGTTGTTTTGATATATACTCCGGATATTCAGCATTCAGTTAATATGAAATTTGCTACAGTTACGTTAGCGAAACTGCCACTAGAGGGCTAAGCTTTACTCGGACACTTGTCAAATCAGTCAGTGAATGAAGGAAAGAAAGAAAGAAATAGAAAAATCAAAAAAGACAAAGAGGAAGGAACAAACAAACAGGCAAATAACCTTTCGGTCTATCCTGTAGGAGGCGCTGTGTTGCTGGTGGAGGCGTTGCTGTATGAGGATGGCTCTGGCCCACTGACAGTGCAGCTCTACTCCCTGAATATGCTGGTACAGACGGAGGGCAGAGAGAGGACAGCTGCTCAGTACGCTGCCCTGCTGGCTGCTGCCGGCTTCACCAACATCCAGCACCGCCTCACTGGGAAGATCTACGATGCAGTGCTGGGGCTCAAAGAGACATGAGACCAGTAGATGAGGGTACACAAGTACAAGGACTGAAAACTACAAAGAAAAAGTTTTCTACTACTGTATTTTTGGATTCACTTTATTTTCATTTCACCATAAGTCTTTCATACTGTATGACAAAACTTCAATATTCTGTATCTGCTTTTTAACCGAATCTGTAGGACTATTATATATATTATATCTGTAGGAATATTCAAACCAAGGCCCACTATTGCTGCCCAGTTTTGAATACTGAATATTCTGAATTATTGTGCATCATTTTCATCTGTAAATCAGTATATTTGGTATCTTTGGGAACTAAAATAAAGTTCTACAACAATGCTTGGCCTCAAAACATCAGTTTGTAATCGACCCCCAAGGGGTAAAATAACACTTCAGACTCATGTTCTGGTCTTTAAGTGCTGAATAAAGAGACAACTACAAGAAACTATAGTTGCAGAAGTGTTATCCACTACTGATAATGCTAATCATCTCCTCAACCACCATCTTCATAAATCCTTGGATGGATGTGAGTCTCCTTTAGTCTTTGACACTGCTCACACAAAACCTACAATCACACAATACTATTAGTGTCTAATAGAGAGAGAAAATAATGTTGTTGGTTTGAAAACATGTAAACATACTGAATAATAGGAATGTTTCATGAGTGGGTGTGGAAATCTCTATGCCCTACCTGTCAGTTTGATGTTAGGAAGATGGCTGCAGACTGACCTTTTATGATTACTGACCTATTGGCACCCTTAATAAATGTGGTTAACTTGTATTAGTTTCAGTACTAGAGGCAGTTACCAGCACTTTGGGTTATCAATCCAGATATTCTAACAAATGAGTACAAAGTTGCTTTGAGCTGTAAAGGGCTGTGTAGCTTCTCAGTGGGTCCACTGCCATTAGCAACGCATAACCAGGAGAACCTTCACTGAATGTTCATCTTACAAAAATTTTTGCTTAAGCCCTCTTTAATATTTAAAAATGATGTTGGATACCAAGCATGCCAAAAATTTTACCAGTTGTCAAATACAAACAGCTCTCCACCCACAGCCAAACTGAGCGAAAGTCCGCGCGCTAATACTATTTCTGGAGTATGACCAGTAGGGGGCAGTGGAAATTATATCAAATATAACAATATTGAAGGTAACGCTAAGTCCTCTTTTTTGTACAGTCACTTTATTGTATCTATTGATTGGCCCATTTTATTGTGTACAGAAGTTATTTTCCTTTTTCCAGAGAGTGTTTGTGTTGACTAGTGCTGTGGCGTTTTTGGCAAATTTGCACCGTCACTACCATTTATTTCTATTATTATGTCACTTTACTGTCAGGGTTCAAATGCATTTTTTTAAAATTATGAAGGGGGCGTGTTTAAACTAAAGCATGGTGTTAAGTTGCTAACAGTAAAATACAGATTTTGGCAGTAATTTGGTACCCAAGCTTGTTCCAGATCTAGACAATCAAGTAAGAGACTATAAACCCAGTCCAATCTGATTCTGCTGTAAATGATTATCCATACACTGCAAAGGTCAACCTCTATTAGATGATGTGCACAGTGAGCTTCCAGTCTCATTGCTAAGAAGATGAACTTCCTTACGTATCTGTTCTCATCACTCAATCCTAAGCCCTGTGTCTGAACCCCCTCGCCTCTTACTGTTCTTAACAGCCTCATAAAGCTGTCTTTGTATCATGTTCTTTGTCTGATTGACGTGACTCAATACATCTTCTCCACAATTGCTCGGCCCACCTTTTATTTCACCCCTATCCTCTTCACCGCACAGGACGTGTTCATAATGGAAAAACTCAGCCTTGTCATTGTGCTCCACCTCCGATGTGACGCAGTTTGCTTGAAAACATTATTGAACTGATCGACACTGAAACTTCCACACATGTATTTGTGAATAGAATATTCAGTTACATTAATACTAACTGTCATTTATTTAGGCATAGAAATGAGCCTGCCAAAAGATAATAGCACAAAATATCAGCTGTCTGACTCTTCAGCAGAAAAAGATCATAATCAGCCTTCAGACACCAATATTGTCTGAACCCTGCTCTGCATTCAGAAGACTGTACCACCACTGTTCACTCTTTTCTATACGCCCACACACTCTCGTTGCCCTCTCTATCCTCGTCTTGCAGTAATTGTGAATTAATCAGACTTCAAAGTGCAACAAATTAGAATTGATGTCAAATCCTTGTGGACGGTTTTACAGAGAGTCGGCCTAATGAAGAGAAATGAAGTGCTGAGGCTGAAGACAGCTTGACCTGTGCAGAGGCAGTGATAGTACCCAGTGACACGGTGCGGTATTACCAATGTCATGGTGGTTAACTAGTGTACCACTTGGTGCTGGGTGTTGGTGGGTTTGAGAAATAAATCCTTACTTGAGGATGAAATGCTTTTTCAGTTAAAAGTTGTTACCACAGAGATGGGAAGTAACAAAGTTCAAATACTTTGTTACTGTACTTACGTAGTTTTTCTCAGGCATCTGTAGTTTAATCAAGTACACATTTTTACTTTTACCACCAACATTACTCCTTGCATTTTTAAAAACAGGCTTGTTTCTTTAGTTTTAATGAGAATTTGAGGGGAATTATTGATTTCTTTTTCATCATTGCATGCCTTCCCAACATCAAGCCTGTTGCATATCACACATGACGAGAGATGAAGACTCAACCCTATTTGAAGTTTCAGTAAGCTTTGCACAGAAACAGCCCATAAAAATGTCCTTCAGAGAAACCCAGAGAGTACTTTTTAGTTTATACTGTCAGTATATCTCAGAGTTTGTACCTTTTTACTTTTAAGTTGAATCAGTACATCTATCTAGTATCTATACTTCTACTTGAGTAAAGAATGTGTGTACTTTTGCCACTTTTGTGTAACCTCTGTTAGCACTCCCTTTTAATAGGTGGTTTCAAATCTGCATTCATCCCCATAACCTGATTTAACTTTCCTGTGATTACTAATCCTCCCCTCACACTAAAACCCACATTAGATAAGACTGAATTAAGAATTAAGTTCTTTTTTTCTTTGTCTCTGATGAAAAAAAGTTAAAAAACTTTCTCCAGATGAAAGTATCCAACTGCTTTGTATTTCTAAATAAACGGAAGCAGTGGAAATCAACGCTGTTTGATTTTTCTGATTATTTATGAATTGGTGGGTGGGGGCGATGTTTTTGATTTATAAAAGAAAAGCAGCTCAGGGCATCAAAGTAAAAAAACAATTTAAAAAGCAGTGTGAAGAATTACAGCAGGGAGTTTCATTTAAAACTCTTCAAATGGGGAAACTGCTTCCCGGTCAGGATGTGAAACAACAATTTTGTTGTAGTCCGCATTTAAACAAACTTCACTGATTTTTTTTTTCCACTTCAGGAGAAAATCAGCTGTTATTCCGTGAGAGTATCTCTTCAAATACTTTCCCCCCGCTTTTCGTCAATGATTTAGACTCAGGTCAATGTTTTCCACTTCAGCAGAGAAAGGTGTATACATTTCTCCTCTCTACTTTTCAGTTCCATTTACTGCTCCTCATCTCATGAGGCTATTATTGTGCCGGCCTCAGGTTCAACCTGAGTGGGTTTTATGGATGGTTGTAGAAAGTTAGAACTATAAAATTAGGGAACTGGGATGGAGAAGAGTATAGATAGGTAAGCTGAGGACGTCCAGACAATTTTACTCTCTCTATGCTTGACACGTGACTCAAGTAAGTCTAACCAGAGAAAACACAGAATCCCAAAATAAAGCAGAGACGGGGGATGACCTTGTTACCTTGTGATTTGTGATGCATGTGTAACCACAGTGTCCCTGGTTTGATTCCTGCCAGCAAAAACAGCATTATATATTTATGGATTACATGTGTGTGTTTGTGATTTGATTCCTATGCATTTTTCATCATGTATGGAAGCACATTCCCCTCCAGGAAGTGGATGAAAAGTTAGGAATGATAAAAACAAGAACTCTCCTGAGTATCTCTTAATTATGGCACAGTAAAGTATAAATTATGACTTACAGCCATGTGTGTATGTCAGTGTGTGTTTTATGCTGTGTTTGTACCAACGCATATATGAATAGGCATATATGAAATCGTGTGTGTTCACCTGTGTGTCTATGTTCATTTGTGTGTGTGTGTGTGTGTGTGTGTGTGTGTACTATACTCTTTGGGGACACTCTAAATCTGCTCCACAAGTCACGCACCCATCCACCCTCAAGCTCCAGGATGCCACTTTAAGATAACAACTTCAGGGTATTTCAGTGAACACACTCAGTTTATGCCCAGAGACTGTGTGTGTGTGTGTGTGTGTGTGTGTGTGTGAGAGAGAGAGAGAGAGAGAGAGAGAGAGAGAGAGAGAGAGAGTGAGGATGTACATGTGTGTGTGGTGCTTATTAGAGCTCTTGGCTCTTTTTGTGATGTAGTTATGTTTTAATTCCAAAGTTTTCACAGGAAACTGTTGAAAGTTAAACCTGTTTTCTTTTTTAGAGCAACAGTCAGAGTGTAGCTTAACATATCCTGGAACATCTCAATGTGATCAAAAGTGTCTCAGAAATGGGGGAACAGGGATGAGCTGTCTTCCAATTTTTTGAATTTTATTTTACTGCGTTTTTTAAAATGTATATCTTAAAGCTTGAGTGTGGGACTTTTACATATAATGAATGTCTGTAAGATTCAAACCGTTGCCAAATGACCTCACACAATGCTGATTAAGCCTATCTCAGAGTTTTTCAATCTGGCGTCTGTGGTGACATTCTCGCATCGGCACACCATGATGCGTTTTAAGTCAACTAGCAATGATTGGTTTGCCAGAGCTAAACGGCGGAGCAACAGTTGTGATGAACTGTTTGTAATAACTCTCACTGCCAAAAGGGGAGATCAAAAGTTCTACACTGCAGGTTTTACCATTTTCTAAACCAATTAATTTGTAAAACAATTCTTACATCCTCTGATGTTAAAATGGCAAAGTGAAAAATTAATTAATTTGATCACCTCTGGTTTAATTCCCAATTAATAACAATGCAGTTTGTGCGTGTGTGAATGAATGAATAACCCAGAACATCACCAACATTTCCATGCCTAAAGGGTAACATTGGCTAAAGCCGAACAATTAACCTGTCCATATGATTAACATGAGAAAGTAGAATACTTTTGCAGTGTCTTGAATGAAACAAACTGCCTTGTGCGGTGGAAATTTTAGTTTCCCCTCACAGAGAAATTAACAAATAAATGATCAACAAACAGTTGTCTTTTGTCTATTTAATAAAGTAGAATATCAAAAGGATTACAGAGTTACAAAACATATTTCCGCGTCTGGTAGGGTTTTACGATTTTTTATTTAACTGGTCAG